CTCCCACCAGACATTGTGGAGCAGAGCAGGTGATGAGAGACGACGGTGAGAAGCGGTAGTGAGGGTCGACACGCCCAGGACCCAGCCCACCACCCGCCGTCTTGCCCATCCCACCTCACCGGGTTATCCTCCCTCCTTACCCACACGCTCACCCACTCTCTCCTTCCCACTTACCTTTTACTAGCTGCACCAAGGTAATAGCTGCCACGAAAAAGGGGGCGTGTTGACGGTGTTCACTATATTGACATAAACATTAGGCTAGCACTAGGCGAGCAGCTCCCCAACCTGCGAGTCAGCTATGAAACGCACCCACCTCAAAACACACTTGACACTTGCACTCACCTCTGACTCTACCCGCTCCTCACTACCTCTACTCTACTCCTACTTACCAAATACTATTACCATTAACAATGCCTTCCTCTTAGTTTAAACACACCTAATTATATCACTTGTTAAATCAGTTTTTGATATATTAAATTTTAAATAATTATGATTAATGTATTATATATAGCGATATTAAGGCCTATATCACTATGTTATATATAAGATTTTATTAGAAAGTTTATTCATCTTTCAATCTTCAAATTTTAAATGGAATTAAAGGGAATAAAAACATATATTGCAAATTATATCGACAAATCAAATTTGCACGGCTGCATTTTCATATCGTGGTCCAACGAATGTTGAACTATTACTACAGTTGACAGTTGTCTTTCTGGGTATACCTGAGTTTACCTCAGCCACCCTACCTACTCCCTTAGTTATGCTTGCAGAGGTTGAGCTCTGGTTCTTTGGTCCTGTATCTCAACTGTACAGAATCAATAACCTATATACTGCGCTCTATCATATCTACATTTGAAACTAAGCCTTGACGGGCCTGTCAAAGGTCCCTTCATTTATATATTATACTCCTCATGACTTTTTCAGATGGATTTTGAATTGGAGTTCTGTTTAGATAGACCTTTAATAGTTAGTTTAGTTCATTTATTATGCACCCCATACCCATCTTGTGGGTGGTAGTGGAAAGGGTTACAGAGGCACATAATGGGCTCAGGGACTGAACCCCACAATTCATCTAACTAAGCAAGTTACAATCTTGATGAGCTAGTTACAAAATTCAATACACATCGTCACATCATCAATGGGCTCGAGATCGACCACAAGTACAGTTTCTTAATTAAGCAACTGACATATGAGGAGAGCTAGTGTAATAAAAGCAAAAAGATAGACCTTTATAGATAATAATAATTTCTTTGGAAGAAGGTACAATGGGTTGGTTAGATTATATAAGATTGGTATTTTTACATTCATGTAAATCGACTAACACGCATAGCGTTTTGGGCAGGTCCTAACTGCCCGAAACGCTTTACGTAATATAGTGGTTTTAGGCATTGTATGTACTAGCTCTATTTATAAATCCATCAGTGTTTTGTATCTCACCCTGTATGTATGTACTTTACCTGAATAAATATTTGATTTGATTGATTTGATCAGGTAAGATGAAAAGGTACATTGTAGCAAGGTTTTATATCAACAAATGACTACAATATAAGTTGATGGGTGATTATACTGATAAGGATATATGTCTTAAGTACTAATATTGGGGAAGTGGGTAGTTCAATATAAATGTTTTAGATTCAGCTACTGGGAACAAGAGTTGCAAGTAGCACGGGCTATGGTGAGCCCGAAGCCGACTTACCTGGCACAGGAGCGGGGCTGTAACTGGGGGACAAGATAGTGTGAGTTTGAAGTACAAGGTAGGAAACTATGAGGATTAAATTAGGTACTTTTTGGTTTTACTCTTGAATAGGGCATAGGTTGGACAATTTTTTAATTCATCAGGGAGCGAGTTCCAAAGACTAGGCTCTTTTATTTGCATGGAGTGTGTGTGCACAGTGTTCGCATATTTGACTGCATTATACCTTGAAATACTGCTACCAAAATATACTAATATATATATATATATATATATATATATATATATATATATATATATATATATATATATATATATATATATATATATATATATATATACATACATACATACATACATACATACATACATATATATATATATATACATACATACATACATACATACATACATACATATATATACATACATACATACATACATACATACATACATACATACATATATATATATATATATATATATATATGTATGTATGTATGTATGTATGTATGTATGTATGTATGTATGTATGTATGTATATATATATATATATATATATATATATATATATATATGTCGTACCTAGTAGCCAGAACTCACTTCTCAGCCTACTATTCAAGGCCCGATTTGCCTAATAAGCCAAGTTTTCCTGAATAAATATATTTACTATAATTTTTTTCTTATGAAATGATAAAGCAACCCTTTTCTTTATGTATGAGGTCAATTTTTTTTTATTGGAGTTAAAATTAACGTAGATATATGACCGAACCTAACCAACCCTACCTAACCTAACCTAACCTATATTTATAGGTTAGGTTAGGTTAGGTAGCCAAAAAAAGCTAGGTTAGGTTAGGTTAGGTAGGTTAGGTAGACGAAAAAACATTAATTCATGAAAACTTGGCTTATTAGGCAAATCGGGCCTTGAATAGTAGGCTGAGAAGTGCGTTCTGGCTATTAGGTACGACATATATATATATGTATGTATGTATGTATGTATGTATGTATGTATGTATGTATGTATGTATGTATATATATATATATATATATATATATATATATATATATATATATATATATATATATATATATATATATATATATATATATATATATATATATATTGTATATATAAATAAATCAATAAACTAAATGTCTGTACACCACCACTACCAGTGCACCTCCACCCAGCCCGAGAGCCCCAGGCAGGTGTTCAGCCCCCCCTCCCCCAGACTCGTGGGGCCCTCGTTACGCCAATAAACTGCCAGTTACGCCGCCGGTTCCTAGTTCCAAGCCTCGGTGACAAAGGATGTGACGTCACCATCATGGGGTATAAATACCCATGACCTCGGTCAGTTCGTCACGTCACTCATCGTCTGACTCTCGCAAGATGGTTTACTCTTGAAGGTCAGCCCCACTTCTGGACGTAGTGGGTGTATTGGTGACACCGGAAGGTCTTCTTCGGTAATGTGAATTGGCGATCGGAGCACTACCCAGATAGAAAGCGTTCTTCCATTGGCACTGCGACCCGTTGAGGCGGTGTCAGCTGAACGACTCGGGCTCTGTCTTCGCTCCTGGTGCTGGCCAAACAGCACCATGCTCTACCGGATCAAGGTTCCGTTCCGAGAACATGACACCAACTATAACGCAAAGTCCGAGATTCTGGTTCTTTTGACGTCGAACTCAGAGGTAGCTCCCGTCGACGTCATCATGGAAGAAAAGGGACCGCAGATTCTCTTCAGTAGTGCAGTGGCGCTCCAAGGTCTGTTCTACCCAACCACACTGGCAGCATTAGAGGCAGGAAACCTGATTCCTCGTACCACCCTATCAATATCAAGATGTGAGAAGCATATTCGTCCGCCGAGTAAGTAGTTCACTCGGCGTGAACTACTTACTCGGCTTCCGTGATAAGTGCTACTTATCAGGGAATAACCGATCTCCGAGATCAAGAGTATTAACCTACGGAACCAGTCACTAACCGCGGTCTCGGCCACACTCATCCAGCAGGAGGAAAACCACAGGCCCATCCCTGAAGGTCACCCTTAAGTTTCTAGCAGAGGCCACCCCGGCCTCGCTGCCGACAACGGCCTCAAATGCTTTGGAATGGTCTGCACACCCCATCAGATCTCCAAGGCAAGATACTTTCCTCTACACCAGTGCTTCAGTTGTTACCAATACACTCACTACGTCCAGAAGTGCACCAGACAAGAGATCAGCTGTAGCATTTGTGTAGGAAATCACTACAGGACCTGCACAGCAGGGTACCAGCGCTGTCTACTATGTGAAGAAGCCCACACCGCCGTTTCACGGCACTGCCCAGCAAGAAAGGCAGAAATACAGAGCATAGTCGACCCAAGACAAGCCTCCGCCACTCAGATCGACCAAGCCATTCAACATCCAGGGCTGAAACCTTCCCAGCCCTAAAAATGTTGCCCCCACACAACAGCGCAGTTACTGGACATAAGAACAAAGGTAACTGCAGAAGGCCTACTGGCCCATACGAGGCAGCTCCTATTTATAACCACCCAATCCCACTCATACTGAGGTCACGACCTCTCCGTAGGGTGCGGTCGCACCTCTACATATCTCCAGTATCGGCTAATGATACTGGTAATGGCTCAAAAGGGCCACCACTTACGGGCTATTCATGCCCGTGCCACCTTTTGGGTGGCTTAATCTTTATCAATCAATCAATTTATTTATTTATTTATTTATTTATTTATATATATACAAGAAGGTACATTGGGATTGTGAGGATACATAATATAGTAATTACAATCTTGTAAAGCCACTAGTACGCGCAGCGTTTCGGGCAGGTCCTTAATCTAAAATTTTTTAAGTAGGTAAATACTTGCAAAATTTATAAAAAATGATAACAGTTACAAGGCAAGAAAAAAATTAAGGATGAGAGAAAATTGTAGGTATATTAAAGCACATAGGTAGCTCAGATTGATTGCAATGACAATCTGGGTTTGTACAAGTAAGTGGAACAAGAGAATGTGTGGAATGAGTTTGTTTAGGGATTTAAATAGGGGGCTGAGTGTTGTCTGAAAACAGTTTGTTATTGTTATGATAGGAAAAGGGAAGCAGATTTGTGCTCTGTATATCTAAGCATGTTAAAATAAAATACAAAATGCATATTAATAACATTTTAGCTATCCAATCATTATTCCATTACAAATTTATTATATTCTCACATGTTCTCCTCAAAGCTTACAAAAGCCAATATAATTTCTTGTAAATTATTATAATAGTGTATACAGTATAATAAAGTAATTAATAAAATAGTGTATCAATATATTTTAGGCTCGCATGTGAGGGCTGAGAAGGTAAACAAGAGGCGGGACACGTGCTCCGCTACAATGCCTGTCACACAACACCCGACAACGTATACAATTTAAGTAAACTGCAATTATCCTCGGTCCAAATATCCACAGGTAAGGCATCAGGTGAGGCTGAAATTTCGTGAACTCAAATATATCCCACTAATTGTGTTTACCCTCGTAAACTACTTAAACCTCTGCTAGTCACATGGAAATACCTCCCTTACAGCGGAGGTCTACCATCATTCACTTTCCCCAAACCAGGAAAAGACCCAACCCAACCTGCCTCATACAGACCATTACTATCTTGCCTCAGTAAAGTCACTGAAAGACTCGTGCACCACCGCCACCAATGGTACCTCGAACACAACATCTTCATATCGCCATTCCAAGCCAGGTTAAAAATGGAATGTTCAGTCCTTAACCAGATACTCTGCCTTGAGCATGAAATAAGCGCTTCACTTCAGAACAGTAAATTCTGTTTTATCCTCTACATAAACCTCAAAGGGGCCTTCAACAGCATTCCTTACACCAGTCTACTAGCTAACCTCACACAGCTCGGTATACAAGTAAAATTACCCTCGTGGCTAAAAATCCTCTCACACAAATAGAACCTTTTAAAGTCTACATACAAGGTGGCGTCTCGAATAATTTTCCAATCCGAATAGGTATACCACAAGGCTCCATTTTAAGTCCAACCTCCTTTGTTGACTTCCTGGCTGTTATACCAAATACGAACTATTTATACCTCTAAGCAGATGGTCTAATGTTGTATTACTCTTGACAATAGTCTACCTAGCACAGCATCCACAATGAAAACCACTCAATCTCCTCAGTACCCCACACAACAGTGGGGGGTTACCTTGAGATGATTTTGGGGCTTGGTGACCCCGCGGCCTGGTCATTGAACAGGCCTCCTCGTTGCTGGACTGGTCAACCAGGTTGTTGGACACAGCCTATTCGCAGTACTAGAAACTAGTACAAATAAAGCTAGTTTCTAGATTAAAAAAAAAGTTCTTCAAATGCCATCCCTAATGATAAATAATATCATATGAGAACACATAGTTAAATACTATGACATGCACTTTGACTCCCAAATTTTTGCCTAGTAAACCCTCATAAAACATAAACAAAAAATCTAACCAAGATTCTTCATCCTAAAAGCTCTCACTGGCAGCACCTGGGGAGCATACCACAAAATGTTGCTCCACTTCTATACAACTTGCATCTTGTATACTTTTTAGAGTCCTGGTAGTACAGTTGGGTTCATTCTCGACTCACAATCGAATTCCGGGTTTGAATCCTGGGTGGCACAGAAATGTAAATTCTTACATTCTTGTAAAGCCACTAACTTTCATAGTGTTTTGAGCAGGTCCTTAATCTTAATTTTATCTGAAATATGATGTGCTAAATCATTTAACAGTCAGGTATCCGTTGACTGCTGGGTAAACAGTGGTGTACAGTTAAGGATTGGCACCTGGTCAATCCTTCCCAGATAGGACACGAACCCTGGCCAAATTGCTCGCGAAGTGTGAGGTGAGTGTGTTACCACTATGCCATGGGGACTGCGTGGCCCAGCCCTTCTTTTGCAATATCATTTTACTCTCAACATAGTACACGGTAAGATCATCTACATACAAACATGTCAATAACTACAATATATCGTTATCACAGTCCATTTCTACATGTGCTGCAGGTGTTCTTGGCAATTAATAGGCGACTGATTGTTTTACTAATAGTCACCCTATATATTACTCTGCAACATATTTATATTATCTCTGTTCTCTCTAAACTGTTAGGCATTTTATCTATTTTTTGCAGATACAGCACTCTATAAGAATTATACATGAAAAGACCATTCCATCATGGGCATTACAACTCAGTACCTTCGTTACGTACCTGGCTCACTGTTTGGGTTGATTGGCACTGGCAGATGTATTCGCTTTGTTACAAGGTTCAGCCAAACAGCAAAATATGTGGCTGTGCCTGCTTGTGAACATGTTTTTGTTTGGGATATTAGAAGAGCTGTCAAGGTACAGTATTTCATATTATAGTTCTGTATATTATGTGTGATGAAGAATTTTGTTGCTAATATTGTAATAAGATTCTGCCTGTAAATGCAGATTAAGCTGTTCATTTGTATACACAATTTAAGATGTAATTATGTATCTAAAGATACTTTACTATGCAATACTCTTGAATTTTCACAGCATTAGGTATTATTAACTGAAACATTCATTGCTAGTTTTGTTGTTGACAAAGAGCATCAAATGAGTATAGTGTTTTACACACATGTTTAAATCCTGATTGGTGCAAAATGGTCCAACTGCAATTCATAGATGTCAGTGTGCTACTTAGCAGCTGCTGGAAGCTACATTTTCACTGGCTTAGTACCTTGACATTCATGATTTAAGGTAGAAATGACATGACCCATGATTTATACAATCTTCTTATAACCTATGTATGTACCTGTATATATTTTTCCTTAAATAACACAATTATTATTGTATTATTATTATTATTATAGAATATTGATCAGCAGTTAACACTTATAGGGATTGGTTGAGTACAGTACAGTATATGTTATTTTGTGGGGAGCCCCGGCAGCCCACCACTCCCGTTCTTTAACTGATGTGGTGACTATGGATGCATCTTCCGAGCCCGTTCTCACCTAGTGTGATGCTAATGGTTGTTCATTGCCCCTGCCTCCGTCGTGCTGCCTGTTTGGTCGGTGACACCTATGCAAAATCAAGATCAAAAACCACATCTAGTATCGGGCCCCTGCGAAAGGGAGATGGAACTTTCACCGATGACAACAAAGAAATGAGCGAGCTACTGAGGACGCAGTACGACTCTGTTTTCAGCGAGCCATTAAACACACGAAAGATTGATAACCCAAATGAATTTTTCATGGATACGATACCAACATCAAATCATATATCAGACGTCACCCTATCCCCACTGGATTTTGAAGAAGCCATAAACAGTATGCCTATGCACTCTGCACCAGGCCCTGATTCTTGGAACTCCATATTCATAAAGAACTGTAAAAAACCACTATTGCAGGCCCTCCACATTCTGTGGAGACAAAGCCTAGATACTGGCGTTATTCCTGATATACTAAAAACAGCAGAGATAGCACCACTTCATAAAGGAGGAAATAAGGCAGAGGCAAAAAACTACAGACCGATAGCACTAACATCGCACATCATAAAATTTTTTGAGAGAGTGCTAAGAAGTAAAATCACAAAATACATGGAATCACAGCAACTCCATAACCCCGGACAACATGGTTTCAGAACAGGGCGCTCTTGCCTGTCGCAGTTGCTGGACCACTATGATATGGCATTAGATGCTATGGAAGACAAACATAACGCGGATGTAATTTACACAGATTTCGCAAAAGCTTTTGATAAATGTGACCATGGTGTTATTGCACATAAAATGCGTTCAAAAGGAATTACCGGAAAAATAGGCAGATGGATCTACAATTTCCTGACCAACAGAACCCAATGTGTAATAGTCAACAAAATAAAATCCAGCCCATCAACCGTGAAGAGCTCAGTCCCCCAGGGTACTGTGCTTGCTCCAGTACTTTTTCTCATCCTCATTTCGGACATAGACAAGAACACAACCTATAGCACTGTATCGTCCTTTGCAGATGACACTAGGATCTTCATGAGAGTAGGCAACATAGAGGACACGGCGAACCTCCAGTCAGATGTAGATCAGGTCTTTCTATGGGCTACAGAAAATAATATGGTGTTTAACGAAGATAAGTTCCAGCTCATGCGCTATGGAAAAAATGAAAATATAAAAACGGAAACCACGTACAAAACTCAGGCAAATCATAACATAGAACGAAAAGGCAATGTAAAGGATCTGGGTGTACTCATGTCGGAAGACCTTACCTTTAAAGAACACAATAAAGTAGCCGTCACAACTGTAAGAAAAATGACAGGTTGGATAACAAGAACTTTTCACACTAGAGATGCTATACCGATGATGATACTTTTCAAAACGCTTGTGCTCTCTAGAGTGGAGTACTGCTGCACAATGACAGCACCTTTCAAAGCTGGAGAAATTACTGACCTGGAGAGCGTGCAGAGATCCTTTACTGCTAGAATCCACTCAGTAAAACATCTAAACTATTGGGACCGACTAAAGAGCCTAAAACTGTACTCCCTTGAGCGCAGGCGGGAGAGGTACATAATAATTTACACGTGGAAAATACTAGAGGGGCTGGTCCCAAACCTGCACACAGAAATAACATCACATGAGACCAGAAGACATGGCAGGATGTGCAGAATACCCCCGTTGAAAAACAGAGGTGCAACTGGTACTCTGAGAGAGAACTCTATCAACATTAGAGGTCCGAGACTGTTCAACACGCTTCCACTACACATAAGGGGCATAACTGGCCGACCCCTCACAGTGTTCAAGAGAGAACTGGATAAGCACCTCCAAAGGATACCTGATCAACCAGGCTGTGACTCGTACGTCAGGCTGCGAGCAGCCGCGTCCAACAGCCTGGTTGATCAGTCCGGCAACCAGGAGGCCTGGTCGACGACCGGGCCGCGGGGACGCTAAGCCCCGGAAGCACCTCAAGGTAACCTCAAGGTAAGGTACGACCTTGAGTCTTGTGGGATTTGTTCTCCGCTTGTCATTCAGTGTACCCATTCTTTGTCTGAGGATGTTAGTGGTCAGGTAGCGGCTTTGTTGCATGCTAGGTATTCTTTATTGCAACAAGCCAGGTTGGTTGCCCGGTTGGAAGCCCCAGAGATGCCCTGCTTGGGTTTTAGGGACCAGGATTTAGAGTTGTTGGTTATTTCAACTGTGGTTCAGTCCACTGAAGCCCTGCTCCTTTCCCCCTGCCCCCTTTCCCCTCCCCCTCCTGATTCCGGCTCCCAAACGACTGAGGGTTCGCGCGCGGCAGCGGTGATGTGACATTTGCTTGTATCGTGTTTCCTTGAGAGTTGGGAGTTTTGCCTCCCTGTTCGGTTTTCGGTTGTACTTTTTTTACCAAGTGTGGTTTTTGTTATGCCTTTCTTTCTGGGTGCCTAACCCCGGTCAATGGCAGACAATGAATACCCTCAACCACAGGGGGGGTTTTCCAGAGGCCATTGCTTCCTTGCCTCTCTGAGGGTGCCAGGTTCTGGCTCGTGGTCCCCTTGTAGGCTAAACTCCATTGACTAATGCTCTAGTCTAATATATTGCGTATTAGCCAGATAGCTCCAGGGAGCCTCTGGGGCTCACCCAGAAAATGGCGTTTCATTACATTCAATGCTTGTTTTTTATCGCCCGACTTTTGCACCCTTCTCTACAATTCTACTCTTGATTCTGTGACTGCTTTCTGTGTTGCCACACTGCAATGTTAATAAAATATATGACTAGTGGTGAGCGATGTACTTTTTGACTTCGGTGCAGGTTGTATCTTTACAGTACAGTACTGTATTTACTTATGATAATTGTGTCATGAAATCGTGAAACTTTTATAGATACTGTATGCTTCAAGTGACTGTTCATGTTGGATTTATAGAAAATTTATAATTTGTAGAAATGTTTTCATGCCATTTAATGATGCTCTACAGGTTTTAACTTTGGATGCAGAAGTGCGAGGAAGTGTGACAGTGGTGGAGCCTCGGCCTCCTGCCCCCGGCTCTCTTGATAACACTCACCTGGCTGTAGGATACACTGATGGGTCTCTTGCTGTCTTTGACCTAAGAGTTGGTCTGCCATTAAAGTTTACTGGTAATACAATATTAATAAATGTTTATTGGTAATTTTGTTCTTTTACAAATTATTATTTTTTAAAAACTATAACAGATTTGGAATATAAAAGATTCTCTCAAACATCTAATCATAAACTTCATCATGCATCTATACAGTATATGAGTCATAGTTTTTGTTTAAGATGCATGTTTACATGAGCTAAATATTACATGCTGCACTTGTTGTAGCTGACACACTTAAGGAAGAAAGAAAGAAATAATATTAAATAAGTAAATGCATACAAAACCACAGGATATTCATACCATCACACTATTAAACTTCCATCATCAGCTTCTCAGCTGATTAACCCTTAAAGTGCAGTTATTGTCATCTGTTGATTCACAGCGTAATGCAGTTATCATCATATGTAGATTTAAACTATTATTGTCTGGGTTTTATACCAATGATGCTATATGGGTATAATAGCTCTATATGGATGAAGGTGTAGTGGAGTTTACCATGACCAGTGAAAAAATCCTGATATCGTTTCATCGTTATCTTACTATTCAAATGAAGTTATCATTGACAATTTTACTATGCCAATGTGGTAATTGTCATGGTATAAAATTCCATTACAATTACATATGTACACCAGTTATGTTCATATGGTTTTCACAACTCTGTATGGCTATAATGAAGTATTTCAGAAGTATTCGGTTTAATTCTGCTATTCCATACATTTTGCATCCAAATTAATTAAGAACAAAAGTTGTTCTGTATTTTTTTTTTTTTGTGCAAAGGTGGACAATCATTCAAATCCATAGTCAAACTTTAGGGGTAAATAAACTAGGTGTAAGATTTCCACTGATAGCTTTTAGTGTTAAATCATTTGGCATTAATGAGGTGCTTCCACGCAATCTTGTTTATTACCATTGCTTGTTCATACTCACCCTTATGTTTTGTAAATGTACAGCTCTGGTTGATTATTCCTTTTATTCATTTGATTCAATATGTTCCTACAGGTCACCGTGGAGCAGTGTCAGCCTTAGCATGGGATCCACAGGGCATGAGAGTTGCATCTGGTAGTGACGATGGTGAAATAGTAATATGGGATGTGGTAAGTTATGATAAATTTTCTCAAAACATTTTCTGTTATCTGACATTAGGGTCTAGTAGAGTCTTGTACTATAGCTGGCATTTCCCACTCCTCTCAGTATAGATATTTATTGGAGAAATCAGCATGTGTAATTACTTCAGCTTTTCTGTGGGGAGCCCTTCCGGCTTCCTGGAGCTATCACTGATATGTGCTATATTAGTCTGGGGCATCAGTCAGTGGAGTTCTGCCTACCAGGGACCATGAGCCAGAACCTGGCCCCCTCAGAGAGGCACAGGTAGCAATGGCCTACGGAAACCCTCATGTGTTTGCGAGCATTCCATGTCTGCCATCAACCAGGGTTAGGCACCCAGAAAGGCAGGCATAACAAAACAAACCCCACCTGGTAAGAAATTGCAACTGAAGACCAAACAGAGAGACAAATCTCTGCCAAAAACATAAGCAAACGAGCAAACGTCGTTCATTGCCACTGTGCCATTTGTCTGCGCAGCCCTCCCCTCCCCAGGAGGGGTAGGGGGAAGCCCCAGAACCCCCACGCCAGCTACTCACACCTCGGTTTATAGGCTAATGCACTCTTGGGTGCGGTCATCAACTCTGGATTCGATTTCTTGGTGGAATTAGTGCCTTTGTAGTGTTTTCTGTGCTTTGTGGTGCAGTGGCCAGGAGTAACAATCAGTGTACTGTGGCTGCATGTGCTTAGGGCTGCCTTCCTTAAGCACCCTGTAAGTACTACCCTTGGGTTTTAGGGTTGCCTTCCCTAGTCTTCGGGACTCCTTCATTAGGGGGTTCTTGCTGTGACGGTATGTAATATCTAAACGGGAGTATGGGTTGAATTATCATATTGTAGGTTGATTTAAAATGAATGAAAAAGAAGTGAGCTCAAAAATTATAGGATAGAAATACTTAGAAAATTTGTCAATTTACTTTTTAGTTGTTAGCATTTTTGGCTTACTAGCAGTAAGTTTAATATACAGTATTGTATTACATTCCCTGGTTGTTCAAATAAACTGCTAGAGGATGCAGTCACCTTCCAAAAATTATATTGCCTTAGTATTTCCTGTTGTATTTAGTATGATCTATCATGAGAATAGATAAAATTGACCATGTATTGGTGTATTGGACCATGTAACGTGTGTTCAGTATATATTGAACATTTCAAGTTATATTTTTTAATTTTCATATTTTGTAAAAATTTCAGGTTTCTGAACGTGGAATGGTTCGTCTGAAAGGACACAAAGGAAAGATAACCAGAATTCGCTTTCTACAGAATCGTAATGTAATTGTGTCGTCTTGTAGGGACTCGTTCATCAAATTCTGGGATATAGATGTGAATCATTGTTTTAGAACTTTGACTGGACATCGTGCTGAGGTGAGTGAATCTGCTATATTAGCGTCCTATATACGAAAATTACCTGTCTGAGCAGACTTACTTGGTTGTTTCCTTGTGGTAAGATTCCACTCTCATGTGCAGGGAAATAATGTAGATAGGCAGGTTCTAGGTACCAGAGCCACAGTGAACATTTGAAATGTTCCTACAGGGTTATACTGATGCTGGAGACCACTTTAGGAGATCTTTGAACCAAAGTGAGTAGTAAATGGCTCAAAATTGTCTGCCCTGAAAGACTTCATAAAGTTTTTTTGGCAATCCTGAGTGCCAAGGAGTGCCATAACTACTTGTGTATTTATTTGGCTTCTTACCTCTAGAGATAACAGTATATCAACAACAACATTGTCACAATATATCCTGAGCAAGAGATAGAGCTCTTTGTACACGAAGGGACTGGAAACCTCCAGGTGTGTCATACCAGGTAAAGTAAGAAGATTAAGAATAACCAAAGATACACCGTAAGATGGGTGCCAGTGGTATGCTAAATGAGTTATGAAGACAGGCTAAGAGAGAACTAAATCTAACATTGTTAGAAGTGAAAAGGATAAAAGGCAATGCAGTATGATCAAAATGTGAAAAATACTAAGGGAATAGACTGGATAGAGACAGCCTTCTCCTCATAATGAAAACAGAATGAGGGGAACAGATAGGAGTTGAAAACACAAGTTAACCAGAGAAATGTAAGTAAATATGTGCAGAATGGTAGACAAGTGGACTAACTTGGGCCAGAGATGGTGTAAGCAGCCACCATTCACAGCTTCAGGAGCAAGTACTGCATAACAGAGTACAGTATTGGGATGTTGAAAAATACACTCAAGTACAGTAGTTATGAAGTGGAGCTCTAGAACGAGATCTTGCTCTCCTTAGACACAACTAGGCGAGCAAGCACATAGACTTTGGGTAGACTGCTTCATCACACTGTATGAATACTCAGTCTTTATGTAGTGGGTCTTAGCCATAGATTTGACTAGAATCCTGTCAATTGGGAGTGAGCTCCTTGACTTCCAAAGCTCTTGGTACCTGGTGAGTTAAAATTCCATATTATATTATATTTCATTGTCATATTTGCTATTGAAATTGTGGATGGATGTAGCTATAATTACAGTACTTTTTCTTTCATTGCATTCAACTTGTTTGCTGTCCTGTCTACAAGTGCTTTCTTACTTCTCTTTGGCTCACTTGCATTTAATGCATTCATCACTATTGAAAGAAAAGTAACATAAGATTTGGGAGTAATGTCAGAAGACCTTACTTTAGGGAATATACTGAAGTTTGTCACAATTGGAAGAAAATGACAGGTTGGACAATGAGAACGTAACAAGAAGAGTGGCAAACAGGAAAATGGCTTTGGAAGAAAGTCAAATAATTTTTTTGAGACAGAAGAAAGAGGTTTCAAAAGGTGAAACAGAGAGAATGTATGGTGCTGGAACTGGCTGAATGAACCACTTGCATACCAGAATCACGAATATAATTATACCCCACAAAAGTGCTACAACTGCGACACGCAACAACTAACATTGATCAGAATAAATCCGAAATGCCCATGCATAATGGACCTGCCAGAAAAATCTCCCAGTCAAATTACACCAAATAGATTAACTTCATTTATCCTTGCCAATATACAAGGACTAAAACGAGCAAAAAAGTGCCGTTTTAGGCTCAAAAATGGCCTCATCGCCAAGTCAAATGCAGTATTTGGAGCTTTCACAGGAACCTATATAGGGAAATTCATGGACAGTGAGATCTGGATGCCAGAATATAATCTATATAGATGTGATAGGGTAAACAGGTCACATGGAGGAATAGGTTTGTATTTTAGAGAGGACCTTGTATGCTCTGAGTGCCTTAACTCTCCAAATAAGGTGGTAGAAGTACTGGGAGTAAGAACTATGAAAATAAACTAATTATTATTCTAATATATAAACCACCAGATGCAACAGCTGAGGAATTCACAGAACAGATAAACAAAATAGAGAATAGCCTCGATAATCTGGCAAAGCCAATACCTGGTATTATTTTCCTAGGAGAATTCAACCTGCCCAGTCTACGATGGAGAATAGCAAATAATATTATAACCATGTATTATAATAACCAGCACCACCCAAGGCCTTGAGAAACAACCTGAAAATCCCACATTTTGGTGGACAAGGAGTCTGTAAACTGGTGAGCCATCATCCCATCAAAGAGGTAACCCGTGAAAGGTCCTGTTTGAACATGAACACCAGTGTTTCATGAAGAAACACTGTATGAACACTGCTCATGAAGCACAAGAGCAGTGCTGGCAAGTGGAAGAAGAACCCATAACAAGAGGTGCATACAACCCAGAAGTTGACTGCACCAAAGTTCAAATCTGATCGGCAGCAGGCAATACCCCAGCCCTACGTAAATGAGGAAGGGAACCTGAGTACATAATAACTAAGAAATGGGTCAGCATGATGGGGCTGCAGAAGGCAAGAACTAATGTGACACTCCTCTGAAAAAGGTAGAAGCAAATACTGTAGGTGGAGGCAAACAAAAGGACCAAGTACAGTACCTAGCTGAATCTAAGGACTGGGCCAACACAACCTGCCAACATGTGACATGGGCAGAGTAGGACACAGCAACTGCCAAGCAGCTTTGGCAAAGCAGCTGAAGGCACCCATATCCAACCCTAAACTGAGTGAATCAACATCCTCACAGAGCCTAAAAAAAAAAAAAAATCCAAAAGGCCAAGAAAGCTCATGACCTTAGCCAAGTGCGAGTGAACCTGCAAGTCATCTATCTGCCACAAGGCCTGCAGAAAGCAAATGGTATCGAGCATGACGATGCGTCATTCCTTCCTCCCAGGAATGAGTGGGAGCAAACAGGCAGTCACTGTGTGGCTCTAAAGTGGTACGATAGAGTGGTAGAGTGTTCCTCTAAAGAGGAACTGCCGAAAAACACCTGCAAAACGTTCAAAACTTAATGCCACTCGAGCAAGCAGAAATGCAAAAGGTGTGCCAAACCTCAAGGGTAAAAAGAGAGGAATGTCTGATAGCCAGGAAGACTCCATAACCTCGAGTCACAAAGTGTTATTGGTATGATAATGTTCAGTAAAAATGAGTTCTTCCAGGCTCCTGCATAATTCTGTATTCCCAACCCCGAAATTTTATGTTCTGCTTATTAGGAGATATTAGGACTAAATGCTTTTCATTTTGCAATTTCTTCTGTGCTAAGTTTTTAAATATAAACAAATGACATTTTGAATCCATTTTGAAATCATAAATAATACTGCTGTTATTTTAAAATTTTGATTTTTCAATTAAAGGTGTGGGACTTTGTGTTGCTGAGAAATGATACACGGTTGGTATCAGGAAGCAGTGATGCAGAACTAAGAGTGTGGGCACTGCGCTTTACTGATGCAGGTAGATACTCTACTGTACTTGAAACTGAATTCTTTTAACATGAATGAACCTATTTTGTTCAGCATCCTTATTCTCATGTTTTTCTGCTTTTCTCTTGGTTCTTTGCATTTCTTGCTAGAGAAGCCCCTTGTGGCTCCTTGAAGCTACTATGCTGACATGGTACAGTCTACCAGGTCACATCATCCCTGGAGATCTTTAGACCTACCGATGACAAGTGCCAGAACCTGGCCCCAACCTCAGAGGCGCAGGGCTTGGTGTCATTTATTTTTGCCACCTCACCAGGAAAGATGCCCAGAAAGTAAAGTCAAAACAAATAACTGCTGGCTTAAAACCATCGTCAGCTTATTCGCCCCATCTTTTCCCACTTATTTGGGTGGGGGGCGGCAAGGTACCTAGCTGTCAGCCGGCATCTTGGCCTTGGTGTATTGCTGATGTAATGGGTACCAGGTCCCCTCTCTGCTGTGCTGGCTCTGGTGTTTGTTTATTCAGCTAAGTGTACATTTCCTGTACACTGTGGTGTAGTGTGAGCCAAGTTTTGAGAGTGCATTTGAGAGTTTTTGGAATGATACACAAGCAAGGGTTTAATTTTCAAATCGCCACTCAGATTACCACACAGCACAAGAGTTAGCCTATCTTTCATAGGCTTGTGTTCGGGCAATGACTTGTACTGTTGGGCATATTCATGTAAGGCGACTGTTACGAGTGGAAGTTGTTGGAAAAATGAAGAATATGGAAATAAGAATAAAGGGAACCCCAGAAGGTCTATTGACCCATATAGGGCAGCTCCTATTTATTTTCACCAATCTCATTCATGCTCATGTCTAACCAATGTTTGAAATAATCCAATGATCTAACCTTTATTATGTTACCCAGTAATTTGTTCTGTAAATCAACCACCTTATAATCAACAAATTCTGTTGTCTTTTATGCTGTAGATTGGTTACCATTGTAATAAAATTACAGCACTGTATTAGGATATTTTTATACAGTATATTTAAAGCTAACGATTAATTATGTTTGTTATTTTTTCATCAATTTCATTTACTGCATTATTAATTTAATAGGATGTAATTACTGTAATGACAAAATTAATGGTGCAAATTTGTTGGTATAACAAATTCATTTTATATGCTATTTTTATTGTATAAAAAAGAATTTAAGCCATAATTCTTCTAATATTACATTTTCTTCAGATTCTAAAACTGTAAAGGACAAAGATGAAGTGTCAGATGAGCCTCCAAATAAGATATTTCATATTGACACGGAAGGAACACATTCTTCCTCGGGCGTGGACCACCAAGACAAAATAGAAGATGACGCGGTTAGTAATGACTTGAAAAGAAGTTTACTACTGTGAAATTTAAACATTGATTATATTTGTATATAAATTAGAGTACCTATATATAATGTATATATATTTACTTATATAAAATATAATGCTTATTGGTATACTATATTCTTTTTCAGAGTGTTTTGGAAATTGTAAGATTAGGAAGTGTACTTCGCTCTCGTGGTGACCGAGTGTGTGGCTTGCACACCGATGGTCGTGTGGTTGTTTGTCATGGAAAGTCTCCAGTCATGGACCTCTTCATCATTCTGACGGATGAAGAGGTACAAGCAAAAGTTTCAAAGAGACTTAAAAAAGCACGAAAACGTGCACGGTATGTTTCAATTTGTCAACCATTTGTTCCACACCATGACATCATGAATTACTCATGCGGCTAATCGGTGTTATGACATATTTGTGTTGCTCTAAAATGTGATATTGTTCCCCAAATTTTGATATGAGCATTTATTGAAATGGTTCTAAAAATGCAGCAAATAAGTTTAATTGTGATAAAGTGGGAATAAGCGTAGTTTATAGTTTGCCTAATGATGTGAATATTTTATTACATATTTTTTGTTCAGTTAGAGTATGTGTATTTGTATGTTACGTGTAATTTTCTGCACTTTCATCTGACATTGTTTTTGTATGTTTAATTATTATTTAATTAAATTATTTAAATTATTTGTAGACATGGTTGAAGCTGATTATGTTGCTGACTTTTGAATTATGGTTGCCAAGACTTGAGAAACATTTTTAACACAATGTTAAATACTTGATACAGTACTGAAATATTGGAGCCTGTTTTCATTTTTGTTATAGATGTATTACAGGGAGCCGGTCGGCCGAGTGGACAGCACACTGGACTTGTGATCCTGTGGTCCTGGGTTCGATCCCAGGCGCCGGTGAGAAACAATGGGCAGTTTCTTTCACCCTATGCCTCTGTTACCTAGCAGTAAAAATAGGTACCTGGGTGTTAGTCAGCTGTCACGGGCTACTTCCTGGGGGTGGAGGCCTGGTCGAGGACTGGGCTGCGGGGACACTAAAAAGCCCCGAAATCATCTCAAGATAACCACATGTCTGCTATTGTTGCTGAAGAAACTGTTAAGAAATTTAACTTGAAAGCAATTTGGCATGGGGCCTTCTAACCCCATGAAGGTCAAAGGTTACATCCACCCTTCCCTCCATTATCATTACTGTACTGTATCTCATTCCCCACATTTATTACTTTATTTTCTACTATCATTACCTCATTTCCCACTTTTGTCGCCTGATTTCCCACATTTGTCTCCTGATTCCCACTTTTGTCGCCTCATTTCCAACTTATCTGGGGGAAACCTCTGATGGCTTCCTGAAAGTATCTTGCTGTGTACTAAAAGTCACATCAGTCATGGAAGGTTTGTTTGGCTTACTGGGGACCAGAGCCAGAACCTAGCCCCCTCACAGAGGTGCAGGGATTGAGAGAATTTACCACCTTACTGGGAAAAGCACCCAGAATGTCGGTGAAGCTTTTTCAGACAATGAAGCTTATTAACCACCAAACAGCTCTGCAAACAACTCGCACAGAAAAAGGAATTCACTCAAACTAGCGCGAAACTCGCTACTACTCATCACTACCACCACCACTAGGTGGCCTAGCCCTCGCAGCTGGCTCCCCTTAACAACCAACTGGCTCCCCTTACCTGTTACTGATGTTAAAGTGGAAAGTTTCACATGTAGGGCTCCAATCTGCCAGTTATGGGCAAGCCCTGCTGCTTCAAGTTTTGTGCTGGCCATTCGTAGACTTTGTTCATCTATCAGGGGCTGTGTGCTTGTTGTCGAGTTCCTCATTTTTGTGTTGGCTTCACATGTGTGTTTTGTATCCTGCTTATTATGTGGGCATGGCTTTGATTGCATTTTGGGCTGCATGCACTCAGGGGTTTTCTTTCCTGGGTGCCTGCTAGTGCTGCTACTGCACAGCCAGAGGTATCTTCTCTAGTGTGTTCAGGAATTTGCCCCTGAGAGGCCAGGCCACTGGACTGGAGCCTTGGACTAATCACTGGGGTGTACAGCTTGTGAAATGAAGCCAATGTTACACTAGCAGAGGCCAAAAAACCTGCAAGAGAAGCTCCTCCGAGCACATCAGCATCCTGTGTGAGCCAATCACTATGTAGCTTGAGGAGACCAAACGAGTGCATGACTTAACCCAAGTACTGATGGGAGTGAAGTTCATCCACCATCAGTGCCGCCCATAACGGGAACCTGGGCATGGAGCTGCACGAGACTCACAACCCAAGGAAGTGCGGGAGCAAACAGGCAATCATTGAGGGGGTGCAAAGGGTAAACACCATAAACATGGACAATACCTCACGTCGGTGCAGTGTGTGGGTGTTACAAAAGCCATACCAAGCTCCAAGTGAAAAGAAAGGATTGTTCTCAAGCCAAGAAGATTCCAAAACCTCATAATGCATCCAGTACTGGGAGTAGGAACCCAAACTCAAAAGAGGCAGGCTCTATCTTACTCTGGGTCTCGCAGGGGTTCATTAACAAGGCCTTCCACACTGCTGCTGAAGGGAACCCTCCAAAAGGACAATCTCAACAGGCTCAAAGGCTCACGGAACCAAACACTAGGGGGAGAGCTGCACCCAAATCTTATTTGTACAGGGAGTGGGGATATGAAAACCCTTTTCCTGCAAAAGGAGACCCTCATTGGAGGGTCTCCAGAGACCACTTAGAGACCACCAGAGACCACTTAGGGTCGAAAGGGATGATCCAAGTCAGTGGATCATCATGAGTCAGGCATGATCCAAGGGTTCATGCCTGACTCACCCCAAGCCTTGGAAGCAGCCGTGAAGAGCCCCTGGGGAGATAAGCATCCTTGCCCACTGCCTGTGATAAATAAGCAGAGTCTAGGAGAAATGCTTCAAAAGCAGAAGGTACTGGCCGAGAAGACCCAGAAGCCTCGGTGGGGTCGGTAGATGAACTGCCTCTGTGCATGATTTGGAAGGGGTCAATCCAAGAAGCTGACCAAGCCACATCCTGAACTAAACCTTCTCCCAATCCCGAAACCCTCAGAAGCTTTGGGGTTGGAAGAACAGGGTGAGGATCAAAAGAGGGACAAATCAAGCCTGGGGAAAGAGGTGGTGTGGACAGAACAAAGGTCTAACACCTCCAATTCTGGGGTCCCTAAACACCATCCAGGCACATAAATTAGACCGCTGTTACTTAGCAAACCTAACATGTAAAGTGGTTGCTGCCTGAAAAGCTCTAGTCTCATCAAGAGGGGCCGAAAGAAGATCCACATGATAACAAACTTCATGTGACTGGGTTGAAGGCATCACTCACCAAACAGGTAGAAGTAATGGACATCGCCATGTGGCACGGACTACATACACCTCAGAAACTCAGACGAGGCGAGAGCAGGTTCGGGGAAATATATATGGGGACCACCAAACCTGCAGGTAATTTCCAGGGGCCCAAAGGAGTTGATCACATGGAACACCCAGGTACTGGATCCATACTTTGGATCTTTAATTGAAGGCTGTCTCTTAATCTGTATAGATATGTCTAATGCATAGAAATGGTGTAGTAAGCCAACACGGTCTGGCTCTGATGGCTGTGAAGGCCAACCTCGACATACTAACGTGTAGCATGCAAATACCCAGTGCAACCCATGCCATCAAGTGTTGCTCCCAACCTGTGTCAATGTCAGGAAACCCAAGGAGCCTGACTCAACGTGGATGAAAGCCACACAAGCGAGGAAGTCCTCTGAGGAAGCAACCCCCCGAACATCCCAGGGATGATAACCCTGAAGCGCTAGGGCACCACTTGGGAGCCCATAGGAAAGAGAATCCAGTGCATATCCAGCTCCAAGCGCACTTATGTCCAGGCTCACACTACACTAGAAAGTGTAAGAGATGCCAAGGATGGCAACAAACACCACTTAGCTGAAGCAGAAAACCTGAACCTAAATGGTGACCCGGTACACATTAACATCAGCGTAGAACTGAGGAGGGTGTGGCCAGCTGACTGGAAGCTATTTACCCCTTTCCCTGAACGAGTGGTGAGGGTGAGGCGAATGAGCTGGCACTAGTTTTCAGAATTTTTGTGAATTTATTTACATTGTCAGGTGAATTCTTTTGGCGGTTCTTGAGTCTGAGGTCTCTATTAAGGCCAGCAGTTATACATTTTATTTTGCTGACTTTCTAGTGCTTTCCCTAGTAGTGGCATAAATAAATAATTATCACTGCTCCCTGCACGTTTGTGAGGGGGAAGTGGGGAGCCAGGTTCTCGCTTATGGTCCCCAGTAGGCCAACAGAACTCTGTAACTGATGGGACCTGGTAGATGCTACACTGTCAGTGGCAGCAGCTTCAAGTAGCTACAAGGGATTTCCCCTGAAAATATATTTTGTTTCTCGCTATAAACCATTTCCACCTAAGTTGACCAGACCACACACTAGAAATTGAAGGGACGACGACGTTTCGGTCCGTCCTGGACCATTCTCAAGTCGATTGTGATGAGGAGGTAGGGACAGGCAATAAATAGGCAAGAGAGAGCTGAGGAGGAAAGTCAGGTGTAGGGGATAGTAGTAATGGAAACTGCAGCAGGCCTAACCTATTTCCACCTAACCTTGTCTATTCACATACCCTGTGAACTGTTTGCAAGAAATTTCCATTTCTTTACATTCTTACTCATCATGTCACTTTACCATATCTTCCTTTCTATCCCCCCTTCCCAGCCTTCCTCTCCTCATACCTTATTCATTTGGAGACACTTCACCAATCTTCCTTCACTAGTTTGGTATTGTCAGACTACCTTGGTATGTTCTTCTCGGTCTTGTGTTCTATTGAATTTTGCACTCTGCTTCTCTTCATAACATTCATGCCTTTGTTGACCAAACCACACACTAGCATGTGAAGGGACGACGACGTTTTGGTCTGTCTTGGACCATTCTCACGTCGATTGTGAGAATGAAGGGACGACGACGTTTTGGTCTGTCTTGGACCATTCTCACGTCGATTGTGAGAATGGTCCAGGATGGAAACGTCGTCGTCCCTTCACTTTCTAGTGTGTGGTTTGGTCAACATATTTCAGCCACGTTATTGTGACTCCTCGTCTTCATGCCTTTCTCTCTCCTAAAATCACATACTGCTCAGATTGTCAGTTAGGTTAGTTGACACTACTATACCTTTATGGTGCCCTCTACTTAAAATATTCCTGTTTTGTTTTATTCTAACTGGAGCTTTCATAGCAGTAGCCACTTTCTTTCTCTGATTTACCCTACTCGCAAGTTTTGTTGCACAAATTCCTCTTATCGATCATACATCCCAAGTTTTTAAATTGAACCTGGCCAAATTGTTCTCGAGGTTAAATCTTTAGCAAGAGTCATTTTTCATCCATGTCTCCTTCTCCCTGTTCAATTCATTCTTTCATTTCTCTGAACAGAGAATCGGGCAATGATGTTGAAGTAGGTGAAACACCACAACTTGCTGATGAACTAAGAAAACTGCCAACATTACGAGCAGCTAATAAGTTGTTAGGGTTGGATATAGTATCCGAAAACCTGGGCACTGTGAAAGTAGTTGGACTTCATGTTGATAACAGCCTGGCAGTGTATGGATCCAGTCTTGATGCTAAAGAAGATAAAGGCCAATTTCAAGATAAGAAAAAAGGAACTTCAAATGCTGTAAGATAACAAATTTCCAGCTGTATATGGTGTTGTTTGCAAGCATTGTTATTTGATTGAATATTGCATACCTTTATGTGAAGTCTTTTTTTGAAGCATTTGAACATTGTATAACTTGGTATAATAACAGAGAAATTTGTTCCTACATCATTCTATATATTTTCTTCTTTTCTAGAAAGGATCCCTCAGTAGCTCCCTGAGCTTAACTCTGGTACCATCAAGCCTTAGCACTAACACACATGCTTGAATGGAAGGTGTCTCCTATGTTGCAGGTGTTTCAGGGGGTTCTTTAGAGCCTCTCAATGCATGACTGCTCCTGCTCTCTGCTGTGATGTTGGTCTCTTGCAGCTGCATGCTCAGTTTTCCCTGTTGTTGACTTATGTTGGTTGTGGATAACCTTCATGCCCACTTGCACTTGGGTTCTGTCATGCACTTCTTGAGTCTCCTGAAACTTCATTGTGATTGGCTCACGGGGAAAGTTTAGGCACTCGGTAGGGTTCGTCGTGCAGGGGTCCTGGTCTTGTCTACTTCTATGTCGACAACCCTGCTCACACTGTATGCTTCGATCTTCCGGGAGGCAGTGGCTGTATTTTTTACCTCCTGTCTTGTGTCAACAGGCCATGCTAGCCCAGTCCTTGAACTCAGCATTGGCCCTTGCTCTCATCTCCCCTTCTTCCTTTTCCTCGCTCCTGTTTCCCGAGGACATTGTTTCTCAGTGTCTGTCTTCTGTGGCCACTGGTTGTTGGCCTATGTCTGACTTGTGTGTTTGTGGGGGGGTTGTCTTTGCCTCCCATGGTGGTTTGAGCCAGGGCATTGCATGCGGCTGGATGGGGTAGGTCATCCTTTGGAGCCAGATGCTGGGTCACATGCACTTCTTGTGGCCACTTCTTCTTCTTCTGGTTGGCGCCGTGCTTGGTTCTGAAGGCTGGTATGCGGGGTTTATCCCAGATCTTTCGTGGGTTACCCCTTTGATGAGGCAGTTGAGGGGAGGCTTACTTAGTTTGCCAATGTTTGGTCTCACAATTTGTGGGCTCTTTTGGGTCGTTTCTGGAGGCCTGTGGCGGCATTGGCTGGTCCCACTTCCTTCCGTAAAAACCTGGCTTTCAATTCAGGTTTTTCAGAAATTTCAATGCCAATTTCTGTGAGAGTCCTGGTGGATTCCCGACATCCTCTCTCCCACAAGGTGTCGGGTGAATTCAGTCATTATAAGAACTGTTGGTGGAGTAGCTGGCTGACCTTGTCTGCCTTCCCCATCTCCCAAACAAGGGGGGGGGGGGGGGGAGAGATGGGAGAAATTAGCTCACACTATTTTTCATGCATTTTCAATCGTTTGTTTATATTGTTGGAGGATTTCTTTTGGCTGTTTTCATGCTGCAGTCTTGTTCCTATGCAAGCAGTGGTCTGTTTTGTTTCCCCTGACTTTCTGGGTGTCTCCCCTTAATGGTGGCAGACTTTAATAAATTTACATAAAATTTTCATAGTGCCACTGCTCCCTGTGCCTCACTGAAGGAACCAGGTTCTGGATCTTTGTCTCTGGTAGGCCAATAAGAAATCTGTGACCGAGGGCACCTTGTAATCTGGCACTATATCAGTATAGTAGCTTCAGGAAACCATCAAGGGACTCCTTCAGAAATTGGCATTTCATTACATTCAATGTAATTGAAATGCAATATTTTTTACTGCTAATAAGAAAGTTAATAATCATATTTTGATTCCCTTTATTTTTTACTTTAACATTTTTGTTATTAACAGATCAGTGAATTATATAATCCAGGCCATAGAACAGAAGTGAGGGCAATAGCATTCAACTCTCTTAGTGACCAAGTCATCACTGCTAGTGCTGACTCTCTCAAAGTCTGGCATAGGTGAGTCATTGCTCTGTAATGTTCGTAAGTTTTGCTCATTAACCCTTAAAGTGCGCATCACGTCATATGACGTGCTGGACGTTGTCCCAGTCAACTGCACATCACGTCATATGATGTGTTGGAGTACTACGCAAGATTTAAACAGCCTGCGGATACACGGGGTTTACCACACCTTCATCAGGGCTCTTGTAAACAGACGCCATTTTAAAAAAAAATCGTGGGCCAAACTCCCGGGTGTTATTGGCCTCAGTATTGAGTGAGCAACCAAGCCTGACACACGCAGCATGAGCTAACAGCACTGCTGTTCAGCTTGTGACCACAGCATCGCCTAAAAATGCCAAATTATACTTGTTCATGCTATTATGTAGCGATGATATTATTAGAGAAGACCCCTGACTGTGATAAAACTGACCAGGGTTCTGATAATAGCAGGATTGTGGTGATATTTAGTGCTGTGCGCCATGGAGGGAGGAGTAATGCTGTGGGAGGGAGGGTGGTGGCGATGTCTTTTGACTGTGTGTGGCCACCTTTTATTGACTGCACTCAGCATACCAGCTTAGTGGTTCGCTATGGTGAACACAAATGTAGATACTTATATATAACGTGTGTATAGAGGGTATAAACAGCAAGAGAAGGTTTGGAGCCGCCATTTTGGTGAGGGCGGTGGCGTCGTGCAAACGACGCCACCGTGCAGACGACGGTGTTGTTTACTGGTTACCACGATGGTCTTTGGGCATCATACCAGTTTATTTGTACAAGTATGGTGAATAAAACAGGTAGATATTTATATATAATGTGTGTATATAGCGTAATAACACCACACAGTATTGTTGGAGGAGAAATATTAGTGCGTCTGGCCTTGAGGGCGGCCGACGATCAGCTGACTGTGTGAGTGTCCACATCTTTGTGCCTTTACTCACCATACAAGCTTAGATGTACAGTTATGGTGAACAAAACATGTAGATACTTATATATAACGCCTGTATATTGTGAATTATTGCAAAAACATTATTGTGGGAGGAGAATGTGGGTGAGTCAGATGACTGGAGGGAGGGCGGGAGTGGCTGGCTGGTACACGGCGGTCACTCCTCGTTACTTTTTGACTCATAATAGCTACTTAGTGGTTTGTTATAGTGAACAAAACATGCAGATACTTATATATAACCTGTGCTTATAATGTAATAACCGACAAAGTATTTGTTCACTGATTGATGAACATAATTGAATCAACAATATGCACACCATATTTTTGAGTACAGCAATGATTCACTCATTTTATTATATAAATATATAAAACTACACACTATTCAATAATATTACAGCAAAAAAAGTATGAAAAATCAATCAGAGACATTGAAATAATTCGGTAATTATCTCTTTGTGGCAACTCTGGCCTGACAGCTTGCGAGCAACAGACCACCTGGGACACACGCTGAGTCAGCGCCTATAATTTGCCAGACTTGCCCGCCCTATAGCGGGCAATATATGCCACTTACGATTTTTTTATTATTTTTCCCGTGATCAGTGAACACAAATTAACAGGTTAGGAAGAAAAAATAATTTTTTTCAAAATGACATGTGCCTGTGGGGATGACAGGATATTAAACCCCGAGCAAGTTAAGGGTTAATAAAATCTTTTAATGGCTGAATATGTTTTGGGGATGACAGGATATTAAACCCCGAGCAAGTTAAGGGTTAATAAAATCTTTTAATGGCTGAATATGTTTTTTATACAGTAGTGCACTTGAAAGTATAATTTAAAATGAACTTGAGTTGGTTCCAAGGACAATATTTCATCCTGTCTTAACTCTGGCCAGGTTTGATTAACCAGACTGTTGGATGCTGCTGTATGTAGTCTGACTTAGGAATCTCAGCCCTGTTGATCAGTGTACAGTATATTAAGTTGCAGATGAGTTAACGAGAGCTAGAACGATGAGCCAGAGCCTGGCTCCCTCAGAGAGGCGCAGGGAGCAATGGCATGTGAAAACTTGTCTGCTATCAATGGGGGTTAGGCATCCAGAAAGTTAGGTGCCCCAAAACAGATCCCAACTGGTAGAAAATTGCAACCCAAGACCGAACAGAGCCCAAGAACTCCCCCGCCCCTCAAGAAAAACAAGGCAACAAGCAAATAGTCATCAAACTGACATGAGACTGACCCCTTCCCCCATCCTTCTTCCACCCCTGATAGGGCCCCGTTGCCTTGATTTTCATGGGGAGTTCTTTGGGTCTGTTCGGTCTGGGGTTGCAATTTTCTATCAGTTGGAGTCTGTTTTGGGGCACCTACCGTTCTGGGTACCTAACCCCCGTCTATGGCAGACATGAATATATTTTCAAAGAGTGGAATTTTCAGAGGCCATTGCTCCCTGCGCCTTACTGAGGGAACGAGGTTCTGGCTCGTGGTTCCCGGTAGGCAGAACTCCATGTGACTGAAGCCCCAGACTATTATATCTAATATCAGTCCGATGGCTCCAGGGAGCCTCCGGGGCTCACCCAGAAAATGGCGTTCCATTACATTCAACACTGGTTTTTTATGATACTGTACTGCACTATATGCAACAAAATCAAAATGTTTAATCTTTTTCATTATAGTTAAATGTGAAGTGAAGGGTGTAACTTATATAGAAATTAAAAAAGTATTTTTGGAAGATTTCAACTTGCAGTACATTTATTAATTATTGTTTATTTTTTTCATCAGAGGTGACAGACAAGCTATAACTACAGTTCCTTGTGACTATGCTGTGTGTGTTGTTGTTGTGCCCGGTGACCGCCATGCCCTGATTGGCACACGATCTGGCTGTCTTCAGCTGGTTGACTTTGGATCATCCATATTACTAGAGAATATCATGGCTCATGAACCTGACGAGATGGCCACAGACACAGGTGTATGGTCAATTGCACTTACACATGATGGGGTGAGATTTATTCTTTATATAATTTTCCTGAGAAAACTTGTTTATAAGTAGGTAGGTAAAATAGATATAATAATGAAAAATGACATGATGTTTAATTAACGGTGATAAGTTCCAGGTACTTAGTTAATTACCTAAGTGTAGTTACGGGATGAGAGCTACACTTGTGGTGTCCTGTCTTCCCGGTACTCTTTGTTGTATAACGCTTTGAAACTACTGACGGTTTCTGCCTCGACCACCTTCTCACTTATCTTGTTCCAACTGTTTATCACTGACCACTGTTTGCAAAAGAATACTTTCTAATAGTTTTTCGGCACCTTTGTTTCCTTAGCTTGAATCTGTGTCCTCTTGTTCGTGAAATTGCCGATTTCAGGAATTCCTCTTTGTCAAGTTGGTCAATTCTTGTTAGTATTTTGTAAGTGGTGATCATATCACCTCTCTTTCTTCTATCTTCGGCATGTTTAACACCTCTAGTCCCTCCTCGTAACTCTTGTTTTTCAGTTCCGGAAGCCATATTGTAGCATTTGTATGCTACAATAGCCGCTAAACCATTTGTATGCACATTGTATGTTTCTAAGTTTAAGTAATAACAATATTCTGCAATAAATTTCATTAAATGACTTCAATTAGTTGTCGTGTGTGGCCTACATGACAACACAAATGTGGCCCATAGTCTTCGGGGGACCCTCAGTTTGACATGCTTAGGGTACAGGACACGATCAGATTTACTCATAGACGGAAACCAACATGTAAGAGATCTGGAAATTGTGATGTCTGAGGACCTGACATTTAGGTTACATAGCCGAGGTTGTATCACCGGCTGACTGTGATCTACCATCCCCCTATTCCCAAATGAGTGACGGAGGTGGGATGAATGAGCTGGCACCTGTTTTGAAACTTTTTGATTGTTTGTTTACAGTGTTGGGGAGTTCTGGCAGTTCACACGGCTATGGTCTCTTCTTAGCTAGCTGAGGTTTTTGTCTCATTGGTGGCATAAATAAATAAATGCCACTGCTTTTTATGCCTCTGCGAGTGGGGGCCGGGTTCAGGCTCTTGGTCCCCGGTAAGCCAGATAGAACTCCGCTGCTGAAGTGACCCAGTAGATGGTACATTGTCAGTGATAATATCTTCAGGAAGCCACAAGGGGCTTTCCCTAGAAATGACAGGTTGGATAAAAAGAACCTTTCAAACAAGGAATAGCATACCAGTGATGATACTTTTCGAGACACTAGTGCTCTCTAGAGTGGAATACTGTTGCACAATAACAGCCCCATTCAAAACTGCAGAAATTGCTGACCTGGAGAATGTGCAAAGATTCTTACTGCTAGAATCCACTTTACTAAACTTAAATTATTGGGACCAATTAAAATTTGTAAATCATTATTCTCTAGAGTGTAGGCAGGAGATATACATCGTAATTAATATGTGGAAAATTTTAAAGCGACTGGTTCCATATCTGCATATGAAAATAACAACACATGAGACCTGAAGCATGGCAGAGTGTAAGTAAACAGTGGCCCAAATACAAGGGTAAATGAATCAAACATCAGCAAAGTAGCACCTTTCCTTGTATTTACTTAACGGTATGTGCACTCGCTATCCCCAGAGAAGAGATTGCTTGTGGCTGACAGCCTTCAACTTGATGCTAGGGAAGAGTATCTTGAAATTGTCACTTAGTGCAAAGACCAGAGAGACACTATGAATCTGGTATACACCTTATGAAACAACCATAAGCATGGGCTCCAAACATAGGCAATATGCTGTATTGCTCTGCCCAAATGATTGCCTAGGTTTCTTAGCTTTGAGAAAGATTGGTCTTGAAGCTACACCAGGCAAAGAGTAAGGTGACCTTTCCAGACCCTTTACTTGGTAGAGAAAGCATCTGGAAGGGCCTTGAGTTTTTGTTTTGCTTTTGTGTGTTATATTGTGTGATTTGCCTCGAATAAATGACTAAGTTATGAACACCATGCGCTCCCCACCATTTTGAACAGAAATGACAGAAATTTGAAAACTCCTTGTTCTAAGTGGGAAGGTACTGAGGTATTTACCCAGAAAATATAGTTAGCAACATGTAAATGAATGAATCTAATTCTTTTAAATATGGCTTGTTTGGTATCTGAACATTAAATAATATAAAGGGTTTAGTTAAAAAGGATTTGGAGTATAGATACAGAAGCAAGTATTGTGAGTCTGGGTGTGGAATACTGACTGAGGGAAGTAATCGTGTTTGAGAGCAAGATTCAATATTTAATATTCAGTATTTGATTCCAAAAGTGAGTTGTAAATTTATTTAGCTTCCCTAGAAAGTTAATTATAAACATTGTATGTTTGTTATTTTTCTTCAGCGTGGCTTCATAACAGGTGGAAGTGACAAGATGGTCAAGTTCTGGAAATTTGAACTGATTCGTGATGAAGATGAAGGTCGAGGAAAGAGACTGAGTTTTGTACAAGACAGTAGGGCTCTCAAGGTGAGTAATCATTTAACAGTTCTTATAAATTTTAGGATTACAAATATAAAAATGTTTGGAAATTAGAGTATTTATCATATACCATATGTGCATGCCCCATTAAATGTAACCCAGCATAGCACATTTGTTATAATACTATTTCTACAAGGGTCTCCCCTCTCATAGCTCATTTACCATATATACTGGATAATTGAGCCTTAGAAACCCTTCACCCACACATAGTCTACTACCCATTTGTTGCCTACTGAAAACTGGAACCAGAATCTGGTTTGCTTTATGTGAAGAAGGGAAGACTGGGGATCAGAGATCGGCCCAAAATCAGGGTAAACTCCACCAGAAACCATAAACACAATAAAACAAGTAACTGTTGGAATGAAAATATTATTTCCAAGTAAACAAGACCTAACAATTGTTGCTGTTGGGTAACCTCTAAAACTGTGATGCACCTGACTGCCACCAGGTGGCAGCTCAGGTCACCCATGGTACCTGGATTGTACCTGAATGGGGTTCTGGTAGCTTTTCTACTCTGCCCGGGGGCAAAGTAGAAATTTACCCTGTTGTACTAGCAAGTGCTTCTTACACTATATGGCAGTTGGCGTAGTCAGTACTTAGTTAATATTTTCTAGACACTAATTAGCTAGCCTTTCTGTTCCAACGAATGTTTGAAGGGGCATTGAGTTGTTTGATTTATTCTTTGGTGTCATAGTGAGCAGTTTCTCTCAGTAGGTGGACTGAGGTATTCTCTCCACTGTCCCCCTGCCCCCGGAGTACAGGACATGACCATTTGAATAGTAACCTGTTCTGGTTGGGACTGAAAGTGAACCCAGTGCTTGGTGTGCTAGGAGTGACCTGGGTGGACCCACAGCCTTAGCTATGGCCACAATCAAAATTCTGCCTAAAAGAAGTGTTTCATTCCATTTAATATCCTATTTTGTTTTTCTAGGTTGCTGACCAAGTTACGTGTGTACGATGCTCCGCCGATGGAAAATTTGTAGCTGTGGCAACACTGGACCTAAAAGAAACGCTCTATTTCTCAGATAGTTTAAAGGTAATTATTATTTTGTTTTTAGTGAATTAAGAAATGTATACATTGCACTCTCGTCAAATTTGCCAACTGGATTTTCCCTCCAAAACTTGGATTAAAAATAATCAAGATCCTGGAGAATGTAATGAATGCAATTTCATGCAATGAAATCCGGATTATTGCTTCACCATGTACGGTAATTACCATGAAATAATTTAAAATAACCAGCTGATTATTTGTTTTATTCTGTTTCATAGACCTGCTACCCCATTCATAAGTTACATTTCCTAACAATCAAGTTGATATTTCCAGAAAAGTTTTGAGTGGCCAGTGATAAGTAAATGCATGGGAAAAAAACAGTGTTGAAAGGAATGAAATGCCAATTTCTGGGTGACCCCCGGAGGCTCCCTGAAGTTATCTTACTGATCAAGTGCCTTCTATTTGAGTGACATCAGTCACAGAGATCTTTGTAAGCCTACTGGGGACCATGAGCCAGAACCTGGCCCCCCTTAGAGAGGCAAAGGGAGCAATGGCCATGAACACTTTACATTTAATGGTCATCTTGCCATTGACCGGGTTAAAAATTGCAAGCTATGTCCGCACAAGTGCAAAAGAACTCCCCCAAGAAGCAAACAAACAAGCAAAGCATCATCCAACTAACCCCTCGCTTGTTAGCTCCCCACCCCCACAAGGGGAAGGAGAAGCCAGCCTGGGTAGGTCCGGACGCCAACCTCTAGTTCTTTGACCGGAGGGTGGGAGGGTGTCAGGGAGTCTCCAGAACTTGCCCAGAAACTGCCGTTTTATTACATTAAATGCTGGTTTTCTGGAGGGAGCCTGTTGGCTTCCTGAAGCTAACTACCCACAGAGAATGAAAATGGAAGAACCCAGGCGGCGGCAGCCCCGCAGAGCACAACGCAACAAACACAGCCAGTTGCTACAAAGGCCCCAAAGCAACATAAAACCGCAGAGGGCTCAGGACAGTCATGGGAGACCCGGAGGTCAGGACCTTTGACCGACCCCTAAAACCCCTGAGCCCGAAAACCATCCAAAGACAGCTGAAAGAGCGGCACACTTCGAACATCAGGGGACACAGCGGACAACCTGAGACACATGAGCCTTGGAACTGAGAACCAAGGAAACCAGATCAACCTAGAGTGCGGCAACCAACACAGAACTGGTGACCCGCAGGAAGCTGTATAAAGCCGCCACTGGACACACACACACATAATTTGCCCCCGGCCTATCCAACCAAGCATCCACAACCAACAGAACCCACCGGAAGCCATTCGCATCATTCTTCTCCAGAAAAAGGACCTGACAGCAAACTAACAAAACGACCTACCAAAAACAAGCACGAACTGTAGGGACCACCACAAACCAAGGTGAAGAAGAAAAGAAAAATCCCGGACCAAAGACCAAGAAGGCTCAGGCGGCACAAGAGCAGGCCGGAGGTGAAAGTGCACGTGAAAGCTAGCGGAAGGGACAACCACCCCGAGCGCAGGCTGCAGCAGCTCTGACAACACTGCACGACCCTCACATGTTGACCATCTTGGCTCAGCTTTTCTTGCCTTGTCTCTGGTTGGTCTCACTCGTCATCTTGTTAGGTGGGCACCTGGCTGGCCTGTGTCTGCTTGCCAGGTTCCTGTTTTTTTCTGGTTCACCGGGTGTTTTTCTTGGAGTGCAGGTGGAAGTTCCTGGTGGTTCTGTTCCTGATTCGGACTTGGCTGGCCCTCATATGGGACTCTCCTATCAGTATTCCAAGCCCCTGGTGGCCTTGACCCAGATGCAGTGCTTCTGTCTATTGGGTTATCCCTGGTTACATGATGGTTGCTTGGTGTTTTTCAGTAGATCTTCAGTAGGCCATATAGAACTCTGCAGCTGATGTGACCTGTTAGTTGCCACACTATCAGTGATAGTAGCTTCAGGGAGCTAATGGGGCTCACCCAGAAACTGGTCTTTCATTACATTCAACGTGGATTTTTGTTCCTGAATAAAGTGTTCGAGTGCTGAATAGTTCAAGTGTACTAACCTAACTGTACTCGCCTAATTGTGCTTGCGGGGGTAGATCTCTGGCTCTTTGGTCCCGCCTCTCAACTGTCGGAGCTGTTTGAGCAGCTCCGGAACAGTGTGGAGCTGTTTGAGAGCCGAGATGTTAGTGTGTATGTATTGGACCATAAGATTGTGGCTTGAGAGGCAAGTAAGGAATTGGGTCAGAGGAACATTTCACTTAACTAAGTTTTTTTTTTTTTTTTTTTTTTTTTTAACCAGCTGTGTCATGAGCTATATGGAAAGTCTCTTCCTACCACATGCATGGACTTCTCCACTGATGGGACCTTGATAGTAACTGGTAGTAAGGACACAAGCCTTCGTATTTATGGAACAGATTTTGGGGATCAAAAAAGGTAAATTATATGGATTTTTTAATCCATTTTCTGTTTATTTAATTTCTTAGTGAATATATGACATTTACCAGATATTATGTAGTGTGTTGTACTGTATTATTATTATATTTCAATTTTATTAATGTATTGTATATCATGTCAATTGCCACTAACAACTTTATGTGAAGCTGAATTGTTTATGAATTTATCAGATTACTGAAGAATGCACATCAAGGAGGGGTGACAGATTTACGTTTCATCCCCAAAACCCATATGTTCTTCTCTTGTGGTCAAGATGGCACAGTAAAGCAATGGGATGCTGACAATTTTCAGAGGATCATTACTCTTGAAGGACATGCTGGAATTGTCAGGTTAGTTATAAGATGTGAATGAAAATTGATTATCAGAGTGTAAGTGTTTCACTGTTTCATTTATTGTGTTTTTAGGGGGAGCCACTTGTGGCCCTCCCTGAAACAACTATGCTGTACCATCTGCTAGGTCACATAGGCTATGGAGTTCTATAGGCCTACTGGGGATCAGCCCCAGAGCCTGGCCCCCCTTGCAGAGGCATAAGGAGGAAAGAAATTGTATTTTCATCCCCACCAGGGAATGTGGTGGCAAAAATATAATGTCATCGCTCCTTGCACCTCGGTGAGGGGGGGCAGGTTCTGGCACTGGTCCCCGGTAGGCCTATGGCACTTCATAGCTGATGTGTTTTAGTAGATGGTACCATCTCCGCATGTAGCTCCAGGAAGCCACCGGGACTCGCCCACAAATTGACATTTAATTACATTCAGTGCTGGATTTTTGCTCTTGCATTGATCAAGTAGTATCATTGACCTAAAAGGAATTGTCTTGTTTTTATGTCTCAGGTGTCTAGCAGTCTGTCCTAAAGGTGCTTGGGTTGCAAGTGGTGGACAAGATCGTTCAGTACGGCTTTGGGAACGCACTCATGAGCCCTTGATATTAGAAGAAGAGCGTGAGGAAGAACGCAAAAAGGAGGAAGAGGAAAGTGGAATGTCTGCTACACAACGGCCTGTAGTTCCAGGAGAAGAAGGGGCTCAGGCAGTCAGATCAACTATTACAAGTCATCACACAGAAAAAGCTGTAAGTTTATTAAAACATATATAAATAATTAGTGTCTTCAGTTGGGATACCTTACAATTTAGTATATAAAATTAAAATGGAGCATTGAGTGAATGAAATGCTCATTTCTGGTCTGGTGCCTTGGTTGCTCCTGTAGTAATATTCCATATGGTCCACTCAGGAACACCATTCACTAAACACGAGGTACCTGGTGGTCTATAATCTAGAATGAGATTAGTGTCCAAGCAGGGGTGACAACAGATGACCAGAAACAACACTAGACAGAATTTAAGTTAATGTAGAAAGGGTAAAAAGACACCTGGAGGAACTGGTTGTAGCAAAAGCAGTAAGATAAGACCAGATACCACGATGGTTACTGAAGGAATATTCAAGATAGTGGACAAACTTTAAACACTGAACTATAGATCAGTGTCGTTAACATGCATTTCATGGAAAATTCTGGAAAAAGTAAGCAGAAAAAGGATCGTAGGACATTTGGGGAGTCAGTTTTATAACAGAGGCAGAACATGGCTTTGGAGAGGAAAAATCATGCTTAACAAACTTGATTGAATTCTATGACATGGCACCAGAATAAGACAAGACAAGGAAGGATGTGTAGGCTGTACTTTCTAGACTGCTAAAACGTTTTTGATTCAATTCCTTAATAAAGACTAATACACAAGATGGAGATCCAAGCATGAATGACAAGTAGGACACTAAACTGGGTATGAGAGTGCTTCATGGACATTGAAACAAAGGGTCATATTCAGAGAGAATGTCAAGCTGGAGAGGATTGAAAAGTAGTGTTTCATAAGGCTCTGCCAGAGTACTATTGCCCTTTTAAATTTATGTAAATGACCTTGTAGAGGGAGAGAGCTCACACATGTCAGTGTTTGCAGATGATACAAAGTTAATGGCAGAAGAACTGAAGAGTACTGTAAGATGCTGTAAGGAGACCTTAAACATCAGGAGTAGTCAGATAAATGTCTGCTGGAATTCAATCCAAATAAGTGTAAAGTAATGAAAATGGTTGAGGTATGAGACTTTTATTCAATTACACCATAAGGGGAAGGGTATTACAAGAAACGATAAGAAAAATGAGCTGAGAGTAGACATAATGCAAAAAAAAAAAAAAAAAAAAAAAAAAAAAGAGGAAGAAATGCAGATTGGAGTGGGCACGGCGTTCCCACCATAGGCGAGGAAAACGAATTACAGAACAATTTGAGTCGCACCCTATCTCCAGAACGATGAAGAAGGCTAAGTAGAGATATAGAAAAGATTGAACTAAAGCTACAAGAATCATACAAAATCTGAGAAAGAACTCTGTCAACATCAGAGACCCGAGACTGTTCAACACGCTTCCACTACACATAAGGGGCATAACTAGCCGACCCCTCTCAGTGTTCAAGAGAGAACTTGATAAACACCGCCAAAGGATACCTGATCAACTAGGCTGTGATTCATACGTCAGGCTGCGAGCAGCTGAGTCCAACAACCTACTCGACAAGTCCAGCAAACAGGAGGCCTGGTTGGGGACCGGGCTGCACAGACGTTGAGCCACAAAATCATTGCAAGGTAACTGCAAGGTAATGAAAGGGATGCCAGTAGGGGGTTCTACTTTTTGTGTTCATTTTTATATTGGCTGCTGAGGGGGACTGGTAAAGAATAGTGTCCAGAATAGCAACTCCTTTTGGATGCCTAGTCTCTTGTTGCTGTTCAGCAGAAGCGGCAGTAAGATTCATCGTTACCTCTGAGTTTAGTGAGTGAGTGAGTGAGTAAAGAGAGCTCCCTTAATATACAGTATATGATAGGCATGAGGTGAAGGCCAATAAGCTAGATTTCTGAGAGGGATATACTGCTTATACTCTGAGGTATCTGTGTTGCCAGCACCATACTATACCAGTCTGTTACAATACTGTTTTTCCTGTCATAGGCTGATATGATATTGGAAGCGCTTGTGATTTATCGCCAGCAAGTTGAAGCAGGACCGTTGGCTGTACCCCACCACTTGATGACATATGTGTATCACACCTCTGACCCACTCAAGTTTGTCCTAGAGGTACTTAGGAAAGTGAAATCAAGGTAAGAAATATACTATATGTTTGTTATAATTGTGGGTAATGCTTATAGCTTCAAAGGAATGAAAGTGAGATCCACTACGCCAATTAGCATTTAATATTACAAAAAATATAATGCATGTCTTGTACTATCCTGTCCAGTCAAGTGGAATTCATTCTTTTGAAATATTAGTTAAACTGAAGCTTCCTGTTAGGGCTCAAAGGTGGCTCTCTTATCATTAGCCGCCTAGTTAATCCACCCAATTCAAGTAACACCAGACCCTCCCAAATTATTATAAGCCGACTGGGAATGAGAGCCTAACACCTGGTCTCCTCAAAGAAGCACAAGGAGCAGGAAGTGTTAGATCGCCCTAGCTGAGAAATATGCCGCCAGAAAGGTAGAGTGAAACGAAACAATCAACAGCAAGGCAAGTCTTAACAACTCAGAAAATGTGCCACCTAGTAGTTAGGTCAGTCACCCTCTAGTAGCAGCTGCTCACTATCAGGTGGTAGCACCAGGCACTCTTGTATTAGCTGGTATAGCTTCTCATTCATTTGCCTGGTGTTTCAATGAAAGGTCGCTCCTGCTCCCTGAGTCACTTTGTTCTCTTTGGATCCCAGATATTTTTCTACACAAGTTTTGGCCATCTATTTGACTCTATGGGGGCAGTTTGCTTGTATGTTTCTTTTTGAGGGGGAGCCCATTGTGGCTCCCTGAAGCTACAATGTTGATCTAGTACCAAACTATTACGTGCCATCTCAAAGGTTTTAGTCCTACTGGGGACCTTGGGCCAGAACCTGGCCCCCTCTAATGAGGCACAGTGAACAATGGCACGGATGAAATTGTACCAAATTTTAATCATGTGTGCCACTACCTGGTAAGCTCCCACAAAGTCAGCGAAACAAAGGACACCACTGTTGGTTATAACAATTATCAAGACCTTAAAATTACTAAAAGAACTCCCACAAAATGTAAACAAACTATTGAAACAACTAGCACTTTATGCTAGTTTGCATGAAGTGTTGCGTGTTGGGTTTCTTTCTAGGGGAGTTATTTTGATCTTTTGGGATGTAGATTGCACAAGTTAACCAGACAGTGGTCTGTTTTGATTTGCCAATCTTTCTAGGTACTTTCCTGGTCAATGGCAATTATGACATACTTTAAATGTAATGTGCTCATAGGCAATTACTCCCTGCACCTCTCCAAGGGTGCCAGGTTCTGGCTCGGGTCTACGGTAGGCATAAAGACTTGACTGATGACCCCAAACTAATATAGCACTAATATTTCTCACATAATTTATAGGTTGTGTGGGGTCTATGTTCTGCAATTCCACATTCCATAATATGGCCTTTATTCACATTAAATTCCATTTGCCAAGTGGTGCTCCATTTACTGTTCTTATTTTGTCCAGGTCTTCTTGAAGGGCATGAAAATCATCTAGGTTTCTTATCTTCCCTATTATCTTAGCATTATCAGCAAACATGTTCATATAATTTTGTATTCCATCTGGTAGATCATTTATGTAGACAATGAACATTACTGGTGCAAGAACTGAACCCTATGGTACTCCACTTGTGACATTCCTCCAGTCCGATACATTGCCTCTGATTACGGCCCCCATTTTTCTAATCAGTTAGGAAATTTTTCATCCATGTTAGAAGCTTACCTGACAGCCCTCTAAAATGTTCGTTTCCAGAACAACCTCTTATGTGGAACTCTGTCAAAAACCTTTTTTTAGGTCCAGATAGATGCAGTCAACCCAACCATCTCTTTCCTGTAAAATCTGTCTAGGTGCTACACTATCACTCACCCAGAAATTGGCATTTCATTATATTCAATCCTGGTTTTATTTCCTTTTGACTGATACACTGTTTTATTTTGCAGTGAACTTGAAGAAGCAATAATTGTGCTTCCTTTGGATCGTATTCTTGAGTTATTGATCGTCATTAAAGGACTTTTGGAACATGACTGGGATGTGGAATTAGCAAGTAGAATATTGATATTGGCAGCAAGGATTAACCTTCCGCAGTTACTGTCATCTACTAAAGCTGCTCCCATTATCCATGCTCTAGCACAGCTGCTACCTCAGAAGACACTTCAGCTGCAGGTTAGTCAGTATCTTGTTAGAAACCTGAATGAAATATATGAGATGCAAAATGATGACTACTTGTAATTTAGTAATACTGTACAGGAAAAGTTTGTTTTTTATTTGCCCGGGCTAAGTGTAACAAGTTTCATACATACTAAAACAGACTGGATTGAGAATGGGCTTCGTTGTTACTGCCTGATTAAACACTGTACTGCCTACACTGTGATACTGTATCATGGGGAAAGGTGGGGCACATGCCAGCTTATCACGGTTGTTAGTAAATTGTAAAACTCCAAACTCCCTCGGGGTACACCAGGGCTCACAGCCTGTTCCTCACGACTCCAGTAAACAGATGCCATGAAAAAAAATCATCTGTATACCTCTTGGCTGTGAGAGCCTCGGTACTTTGGTGTGAATTATTATTGATCAGCCCACCAAGCTGCACTCTCTTCGTGAAAGTTTAAGGGAGGTTTGTCAGTTGTGCTACAAGCCGATGGTATTTGTACTGTCCCCACCATGCCACCCGTTGAATGGGTGTTACCCTCTTCCTCCGAGGCGTATAACATTTAGGTTTGCTGGTTTTCTATTTTTTTGTAGTGATCAGGCTTCACAGGTGACAGCCACAATGGGTTCCTTTACCCATTTTTGTTTTCATGGCTTGATGCTCAAAATCGTGGCGCGCCGTACCCGCAGCCAAGCCGAAAACGGGCCACATTTTTTAATTTTTGACACAATACTGCATCATTCCCACAAATGTGTGTAATAAATTTTTGAAGCAATACTGCGTCATCACCGAGCAAAAGTGTTAATTAACATTATCAGTGAGAAAAGTAGTTGGAGCCATGAGGAGGATTCAAACCCGCACACTTTGTACTCCCAAGTCGTAGACCACGACTTGGTCAAAAGTAATATAACCTGGGATTGAACTGAATCCTCTAGGGGTTCTGAGGCTTTCACTGAACCCCAGTCAGGAGTTTCATGCATTGCCCCAAGCACTCTGGCTATGGTCCAGAAGCTCCACCTCCAACACTTTTTTAAAGAGAAGCATTGGAGGTAGAACAAACAATTGGACCACAGCCAGATTTCATATGGGCCAATGCATGGAATCCCTGATTGGGTTTCAGTGGAAGCATCAGTATACCTAGAGGATTCTGTTCAATCCCAGGTTGCATTGCTTTTGACCATATCATAGTGTGGTGGTCTAGGGCTTGGGAGTACCAAGTATGCGGGTTCAAATCCTCCTCATGGCTCCTACAGAGTTTCTTGTCATGAACACTGTGGAGTCATCAGTGTGGCTAACAATAGGGAGCTACAGAGATCTCTCCCACAGAAAGAGCCGTTTCATTATGTTGTGTTGTATTTTTTTACATTTATTTGCGTGTACAGTACTACATGACATGTAGTTTATTAATTTTAAAGTTAACTGAATAAGGGAATTGTAAGAAAATTTATAGTTAAAATTTGCTTGCAGAATATAGTAGGATTTAATCTTGCTGGGCTACACCACATGAAGAATAGACTAGAACTGCGGTCTGAGACTCAGTTGTTTGCCGAAGCCTCACAGAAAGTTAAAGAAGCCCGCAGGAAGAGGAAGAAGAAGGACCAAGCTGTCAAGAGAGTGTTGATGACTATATAATGATACATAATTATGGTCGTGTGATTATACTATAATTTATATTTACATATTAGTGTATTTTAATAAAATTACATAAATGTCTTTGCATATGATTCATGATTGTATTTTTCTGGTATTTAAAACAGCATGTCTTGTTACTGTTACCTTTGCTATTTATCTTTTATTTCTTGTTTCTTGGACGAATGGTTACATGTAGGAACTAACCCAGACTTCTCAAACATCTTCAAGTAGGTAATTACCAAAAGTAGTAGTCAAGCTGGGAAGACTATGGCCAGCATCATGGTTGGGTTTTACATGGGTAAAACCCTGGTTTGTGTCTTGGAGAGGCTGCAGGATCCAGTAAGTTCAGAAGAACTTCGGTTTCAACTTTTTTTTTTTTTACCATGTCGCAGCTCAGTCGATTAAGGCAACGTCTGGGATGCTCTCGGACGCAGGTTTGAATCCTCGTCACGGCCCTTGTGGATTTGTTCATAGAATACTGTACTGTATAAACATCAGAGGTGCTCGGTTGTTAACCATACTCTCAGCAAGTATAAGAAATATTGCCGGAACAATTGTGGACATCTTCAAGAGAAAACTAAATAATTTTCTTCAAGAAGTGCCAGACCAACCAAGCTGTGGTGGATATGTGGGCCTGCAGGCAGCTCCAAGCAACAGCCTGATGGACAAAGCTCCACAAGTCAAGCCTGGCCTCGGGCCGGACTTGGGGGAGTAGAAGAACTTCCAGAACCCCATCAAGCAGGTAGTGAGAGGGAACAAGGCCCATCCAAGTGGCCATGGTCAAAGAATGACATAAGCAGGAGTGGGGATGTTGCAGGGACTACAAGAGGTAGCGAAGGTAGTAACCATCATGATCCTGTAGACAGGGCACCAGTCTAAATGAACGAGAGGCACCAGAGCTAAGTCATAACCCAGTACAGTATAATGCAGAGGAATAGGTGGAGCAGCCATAATCAAGTTTAGACAGCACAAGAGAGGAGTGGAAATAGAGGAGTGTGTGTGTATCACAGTGGTTCCCAGCCTGGGAGCCACAAACCCCTGGGGGGTCTACAGAGATAGTACTGGGGTCCACAAGCCAAGTTCAAATTTTCATCTCCTTGATGCCAATAATATATGAATTAAGGTTCAGCTTCGTGTACAGTAGATTTAAAAATGCAAAGAATTTAACTGCAAATAAAGGAAACCGATGTTAAATGTAATGAAATGCCTCATTCTGCATGAATCAAGGTGGCTCTCTGAAACTATCTCGGTGAGATTGCTCCAAACGATACCTGATCAATCAGACCGTTACTCGTATGTCAGGCTGTGAGCATCTGCATTCAACAGCTTGGTTGATCAGACCACTATCTAGGAGGCCTGGCCAGAGACCAGGTCACGGAGACATTGATTCCCAGAACCAACAAGCGGTAGACAATAGGTATGTAAATTAATAGGTCACATCAGTTGGAGAGGTTTAGGTTCTTTAAAGTTTTACTACTGGAAACCAGACCCAAAAACGGGTCCTTAAGGAGGCACAGAGAGCGTGTGATATACCCAACCCCATTGGAAAGCATCCAGAAACTCGACAAAACATTACAGACCATTCACTACCTGGTTCAAAAGAACTGAAGCTGCTTCTCAAAAACTGCTAAACAAACTTCCCAAACTATAAACAATAGACAGCTCATCCTCCAAAGACCCAAAAGTGATTCTGTGCACCCGCCAAACCCCGAGTTTATGAATGAAAAAGCTTACACGACTTGCAACTGATTTTGTTCGAACGCTTCTGGAACAAGTGCTTCACTGACAAATTTTATTCGAACCACAACGCTATAAATGCTTCACCCACGTACTACAAATACAAATAATCGCCAACAGAATCTAAACGCCTAACCTAACCTATATGTGCACAATATGCTAATATATTATAATACAGTATTTATATTTGAGAAAATTTCCGTTTTGAATGAACAGCATGTAAAAATTTATGAATGCATCTGTGGGGTCTACTGCTGGATGTAATGGACTTGAGTCGAGGATGGGTTGACAATAGAATCTCTCAAAACTAGCTGAAACTTGATAGCACCAAACCAATGCTACCAGGGTAGAAGGGGGGGCCTTGATATCCAGCCCTTCCCCATCCCTCCCAAATTCCATTCGCAGATGTAAAACCATAAACAAGATAATCCTGTGCTTATCTATCAGTGACCAAGGGTGAGGGGGATTGAAATCTAGCACTATGCCCTGCCCCCTAGCCATACCTGGTGCACTAATTACATTAACATTTTTAATGTAATTAGATTTAGGCCCACTGTAATTGTCAGGCCCCCTGTCAGTGGGCCTGACAGCTGAGTGGACAGCGCTTCGGATTCGTAGTCCTGAGGTTCCGGGTTCGATCCCCGATGGAGGCGGAGACAAATGGGCAGTCTTTCACCTTGATGCCTTTGTTACCTATCAGTAATCTCTGATCACCAAGTCTCTATAAGCACACCAAATTCTGATCTTGGTGTTCTTAAGGTCCATAGGTCTGTTAGCATTTAGGAGTCTGTGTGGTACCAGAGCCCAGTACACTGGAATGTTACTGTCAGGCTGCTGCCACCCCTCCCTCCGTCCACAAGAAAAAATATTCTGGTGAAAATTACATGTAAAAATAATTTTAAATTTTTAATTTGAACATAAATAGAGGTTATTGGATGGACACAGAGATATAGTCCAACTTAAGAACAAGAGGGAAATATTGGTGGCAAGTATGTTACACTTTTCTTTGTGCCCAACCAATTATTTGGACTAATTTGAGATTGTATAATAAGGGCTTAATAACTGAAATACAACATTGTATAAATCACAGACATACCCAAGGGTGGTGGGTCCAATAAATTGTCATTTCATAAGGCAACATGCAATGTAATTTTTTTTTATAAATAAATCATACATATCCTTGTTCAGTAATTAATGTCCCCTCCATCTTTTTGCCTTGGGTATGCCCCATGATTCTTCCCTCCAAATTTACATGACAATCTAAGAAAGCATAGAAGCCCTCTTTTTACATTTCAAATTTTTTGGTAACCTACCGAGATGTTCACCTTGTCCCAAATAGTACTTGCACTAATGATCTTGGAATTTTTCGCATTAAAGAAATTCAGCTATGTTAGGAACATACGTAAGCTGCTGTATCACAAATGGCAACATACTAAAGTAATACGTGCTAAACCTAACACCGGTGAATTTGTTTTTTTTCCATGATCATTATGTACAAAAATTATTTGAGTTGGATAATCTGTTCAAACTGGATTAGATTTACCAGCAATTCCTTGTCCACATGTAAGACCCAAACACACGGCACAATCAGCAAAATTCTGTGGTAATATGCCAGTTGTTTGGAGTGATACACATACATGACAAAAAATGAATAGCCCCATGTGTTCTCCATCAGTTAAGCTTAAAGAAGTCTCATCTACATAATACAATTCTCTGATGTGCAGTAGTGTAAGTTAATAGAATGTAACAACTGAAATAGTAATATATTTAGCATTAAATGTAAGATATTTACCATTAATCTTCAGCAGCACATAAATGACTCGTACAACAAAGTAACACTGTTTTGTAATATAAGAAACAAATCATAATGACCTGATGAGGATTCATAGTAAAACTTACATTCAAGGCCTCAACAAATTTAAAAATACATAATAACAATGCCCAGTTACTATAATATGACAACTATCCAATCAAAACTAATGTATTTTCAAAATACCAAAACACTGTGTGTGTTTTATCATCATTTCAACATAAAATGCATCTTGGTTACAGGCTAAAACAAAATATAAATTCAAAACAAATGTATTCAGGAAATGACTCCCAAATACAATAAAATAACTGAAAAGTAATTATTAAAAATACCTAGATTTAGTTCAATATTTTCATTCAAATGGACAAAGTTTTAATTAAATAACTCATCACATGATATTGAAAACAATGCTTATTTCAAAAGTCTATCACATAACCTTCTAACATTACCTAAATAATGTTGACACTAATGATCAAACAGCCCCAGGGGTTGTCTCCAAGCTAAGCTCCAGAATTGATCTTTCAACTCTTATAACAAGTATGAAACTTTCAGACTCAACAAATCTGCTTTAAGCAGTCATCCAGTAATCAATATCTTAATAATTTCTATAGATATCTGAAATGACTAGTTTTAGTGAACTTAATTATTACAATTAAAAAATAATGTGAGTTAAAAGTCATAACTTTACATACAATATATTCATAAAATGAGCTATCTTAATGTACAAATGTTAATTTAAATTTACATCCACAAGAAGTAGAGAAAGTAAAATGGTTTCCACTTCACATTTATCAATACACTATTTAGACTATTACCTCTAGTATGATTTACATTTCCAGCTAAGAATTTTATGCACAGCAGTAGACAGTAAATTGGACTTCTTTAAGCAATATTTGGACAACTGAAGAATTTCCTCATTCGTAAAATTACTATAGTAATTTAGAAAACATTTGTTCAATATTGTATGGTGTAAGTATGTGTGGCACAGCTGCTACACTGAGGATCACAGTCATCCTCCTGGTGGAGATCACATGGGCTGGAGTGTAAACAAAAACTGACAGCACACAACACGATGACGCCTAACACTGCCTCGTCATGTACACGTACCATCACCAACAAGATACAATTAAAACCTAAAGTGCATTTCATTTAAGTTCTGTCTTATTGGGCAACTTTGCATGACATAAGTGTGCTGCAGCTCATCCCCTTATGTGCTGTCTAATACAAACAATGGGCTTCAATCCATGGACCACACCCTGTCAATGCCAGCAAGTGCAGCAATAAAGCACCAACATAGCTGACAGACACCATGTTCTGTGTGGGCCCTCAGCCACCCTTTGGGCATTGTTTTAGCTTGTCATCGGAAGACATCACTTGCCCATAATTCATGTGTAGTTGAAGATTTCAACAATGTAATTGTAGGAAGTGTGATCAACCATTCTTTCAAACATGATGAGGAAACCTGAAATAGTTCTTCTGAGTTTCCTGAAACAATGAGCAATGTGACAAGTGAATATGAGCTTTCAATGTGTTTCATTTTGATCACTATAAATTTTAAGATAAACCATAATCGATTAATGAAACACACACTTGACCAATTCACCAAATTACACTCAAATACCCAGAGTGGCCCATCTCTAACAACCAACAATCATCCAATGTCTATACTTTGCATTTAATTAATGAATGCCCATTAGATAAAAAGAATTAATGTACGTAACAGCTTATCAGATAAAGCATTATTAAGTTGCAGTATGGAGTAATTTGCAAGGGTTGGAGGGATTTTTACAATGCAGAAAACTATGGAACTTCACAACTAAGCTAAAACATATGCATACTTGTGTGTTCCAAGAATTAAATGAGTAAATCTCTATCCTACTATGAATTCACTATAATGCAATGCTGAATTATCAAGCTGTGAACAGGCAGTACAAAATGTTGCCACTTATATCCACCCTGGCAACGTACTCCATTACTGACACCTACACCTGGCCAAGACTACGGTACATTCAAGGTAAGGAGGCCACGCACTGGTTCACTTTTACTCCATTTTTGCATTGATGGTGTGGTGTCCGTCGATACTCAAACCTAATTTTTAGAAACGACAAACGGCCTACAATAATTGTACTAAAAAGAGTGTCAGGTACTATATTGACTACCTTTACACCATTCACTTGATGTGCAAAATGGAGGCCAAGTCAGCCAGCGTGTGCTCTACCATAACACTTCACTAGTTCTATGCAAAGTATAGCAGATGCACACAACGAGAGTAAACTCAGACCAGGATATCTGTGGGGTCAAAATGATATTTATATTTTTAGGCAGAGGCACATAACAAATGTGCTTAAACGTACTGCATACAAGCTATCTTGAAAAAGCTTCTTCATAGCTCATGATAGCTACTGTACTTTCAAATCTTTCCTATGCAGTCTAGGATTTATTTAACATTTAAAGATAAAACTGAACTGCTTAAAAGCTTCATATAAAATATTAGCATCTTATCAAATTCCTATTACTTTCACCATCATTGTTGTGAAAGAATATTTTCTATAATTCTGTTTGTATGAAAAAAGTATGTGCTAGTATTCTATTCTGCACATTGACCACAGGTACCACAGAAATCTTGCTCAATTCTGGTCTGAGTTCCTAATTTTTTTGATACAACTCATGAAAAGAGTACATTTTTATCATTCTTAAAGAATGATTTTTTCATTTTTTTGGTATGTAGGCGCATACTGTAGTACAGTATCCACTACAATTTTTATATTCCTTTTACAAAGATTTTACAAGCAAATAACTGGATTAGTGAGGTTACACCCTATACCAGGTGTCACTATCTTGATATAAAATTCCTCCTCACTCTTAAGCTTCTTTCTCCAGCTTTCAAACTACTTATTGGTCATGATCTTCAGGTACTCGAGACCATTGTGAGCAGCGGCAGACTGAGCTTCCTTAACCGATGCACCAGTGCCATAACACACAGCTACAGGAAGTGTCGACAATTGGACTAAACACTGGTGCTGACCTGCAAAAAATAAATCAAAGTTTATCAATGTAAAACATGCAAGTACTTTGGCTGCACTCACTATATCACCACAGTACAAAGTGGTTTGTTGCATTACCTCAGTACTAGATGGTAGCTGTACTACCACAGTATTCTGTAATCTGCTGCATCACCACAGTACTAGGGGGTCAGCTGCACCACCACAGTACTAGGTGGTCTGCTGCACCACCACAGTACCAGGTGGTCAGCTGCACCACCACAGTACTAGGTGGTCTGCTGCACCACCACAGTACCAGGTGGTCAGTTGCACCACCACAGTACTAGGTGGTCTGCTGCACCACCACAGTACCAGGTGGTCAGCTGCACCACCACAGTACTAGGTGGTCTGCTGCACCACCACAGTACCAGGTGGTCAGCTGCACCACCACAGTACTAGGTGGTCAGCTGCACCACCACAGTACTAGGTGGTCTGCTGCACCACCACAGTACCAGGTGGTCAGCTGCACCACCACAGTACTAGGTGGTCAGCTGCACCACCACAGTACTAGGTGGTCAGCTGCACCACCACAGTACTAGGTGGTCTGCTGCACCACCACAGTACTAGGTGGTCTGCTGCACCACCACAGTACTCTGTAGTCTGCTGCACCACCACAGTACTAGGTGGTCTGCTGCACCACCACAGTACTAGGTGGTCAGCTGCACCACCACAGTACTAGGTGGTCAGCTGCACCACCACAGTACTAGGTGGTCTGCTGCACCACCACAGTACTAGGTGGTCTGCTGCACCACCACAGTACTCTGTAGTCTGCTGCACCACCACAGTACTCTGTAGTCTGCTGCACCACCACAGTACTAGGTGGTCAGCTGCACCACCACAGTACTAGGTGGTCAGCTGCACCACCACAGTACTAGGTGGTCAGCTGCACCACCACAGTACTAGGTGGTCTGCTGCACCACCACAGTACTAGGTGGTCTGCTGCACCACCACAGTACTAGGTGGTCTGCTGCACCACCACAGTACTAGGTGGTCTGCTGCACCACCACAGTACTAGGTGGTCTGCTGCACTACCACAGTACTAGGTGGTCTGCTGCACCACCACAGTACTAGGTGGTCTGCTGCACCACCACAGTACTAGGTGGTCAGCTGCACCACCACAGTACCAGGTGGTCTGCTGCACCACCACAGTACTCTGTATTCTGCTGCACCATCACAATACTCAGTACTACTGGTGTAGCAGACTACAGAGTACTGTGGAAGTATAGCCACAGAAAATAATATGGTATTTAACGAAGTTTCAACTCGTGCGCTATGGAAAAAACTCAGCGTTGATTGTAATGAAACGCCAGATTCTGGGTATGCCTCAGAGGTTCATCGAAGACTCCAAACTAATATAGCCCTATATAAGTTCGGATAGCTTCAGGGAACCGACAGGGCTCCCCACAGAAATAAAGATAGAAAAATGTGTGAAAATTTACACTGTTAAAAAATTATCATGAATTTAGGACAAATTTATATAATTTCAAACAGTAGGTCTGTATATTTGGGTTCAAATGTTTATCTATCTTACTGTTGCCTGCCCTACAGTTGTTATGTTCAATGCTTATAGTTAAACACCATGTAATAGCGAGCACTACACATCTATTGCTGGGTGCTACTTCATCATTATTAAAATGGGTAGAAAAGACACACTGCAAGCCATGCTATCTTTATATTTCCTCATTTCCAAACAATAAACACATGCATCATGTGCCTGTCTGTTTACATGGTGAGAAATGTGTTTCACAAACAGCAATGTTAAAATGTTTGAAATAAGGTAAATAAGATTCTGGTATTTATTGGGTCCTGGTAGTACAAATGGGGACACTCTCGACTTATAATCAGGCATTGCGAGTTCGAATCACAGGCGGGATATAAATAGTTGGGCACATTTCCTATCACCTAATGCTCCAGTTAGTTCACTTAGCAGTTAGTCAGCTTGTTGTGAGACAGCCATGCAAAATGTCATCATGAAGAAACAACAAATATACAGCACACGTTAAACTAAAAGTGTTTACCATATATTATTAACAGTTTTACATTTTTTTTAATAAAATATCAGTTTTTTTTTTACTGCTCCTCTGTTTTAGTTCATGTATTGTATGATGTTATACAAATACAACAGATGGCATTGGTCAGGCTGAGCTGGATTGTACCTGGATAGTACATATTGCATTTGTTTGCAATATGAAGGCACTATGATCAAAACTGTATTTTGCCTGGATACTACATGAATGTAAGGTATAGTATAAGGCCTGGTCAGAGACTGGGCCAGACACTGATTCCCAAAACCAACAACAGGTAGTCATAAGGTAGTTATCTCAAAATTGCATTACTGTACAGGTAAAAAAACTGAACTTCAAGTGCTAGTATTTACTAACAAGATACAGAACTAAGCTGTATTTATGTTAAGAGAGTTAATATGATGTAGGACGCTACAGTTAATGTGTATTCTCCAGGTAAGTTGGTAGGCTTTTGATGATCATGCTTCTGAACACCAATAGGCTACCAGTAAATTGCAACACTAATTTATGTGACATTTTAATCTAAATATTTTATTTTTATTTTTTCCATCTTTTGACTTATATCAAACATGAATGTCATCCCACCAAACACAGTACTGTACTGTACTGTACTGTCTAAGCTTGCTGATCTGGACTATACAGGAAGGACCCCCCCCCCTCACCGGATAAGCCAGACATCGGGATAAGCAGAATTCTTACCAGGAAATAAAAAAAAAACAGCGTTGACTATAATGAAACGCCAGTTTCTGATTGAGCCCTATCGGCTCCCTGAAGCTATCTGAACTAATATACTGCACTACAGTTGGATTATGCACTACAAATATAGCACTACAGTTGGATTATGTGTTGCTTGCTTGTTTTCTTTCTGGGGGAGATATTTTGCCCTTTTGAGAACACAGCTTGCATAGTGTAACAGTGGTCTTTCTTGCTTCGCCTACCTTTCCTTGGTCGATGGCAATTATAACATACTTTAAATGTAAAGTACTCATAGGCCATTGTCCCTTGTGCCTGTCTGAGGGGGCGAGGCTCTAGCTCATGGTCCCCAGTAGGCAAAGGACTCTGTGACTGATCACAAACTAATATAGCACTATATAAGTTCGAATAGCTTCAGGGAGCCGACGGGGCTGACCCAAAAAATGACCATTATTGCAATTTTTGTACCACAACCAAATTTGAATTTCCACACACTATAACTAAAAAATATAATTTAGAACAGAATCTTCAGCTTACCTTGTTGAAGTTTGTTGTCTTGTTTGATACTTTAGATCTTAAAATGTATAGTTCTCAAAAATGTTCGTAACCTAATCTTCTGTTATTTAGATATTTGTCTGGATATATCAAAGTTTTTTCAGAAAATTATCTGGACTTGACTTAAACTATAGAAGTCTGTGTTACTGGGCCAAATCTGTAATTATACGGATGTGAATGTGGAGAAGATCTGGCAGAATATTACCCGGATACAATTTTGGCCAGATAACCCAAATATTCAGTTCGGAGGGCTTCAGACATCCAAGCTCATGCAGTACTGAACTTGTGTAATAATCGACCCACTAATTTCAGCTTTAAAAACCTAAAAAGTTTGACTTTAACATGAGAACATATGGTAATTTGCATGTACTCTAGTACTGAAATATGTATAGTTTAAGTGGCCTTAAATATATTTGTGCTTAAACTACAACAAATATATATTGTAGTCCTTACCTGTAACTGATAACTCTTCAATATCAACAAAGGTGACGACAAAGTTAGCTTCCTGACCAATATCTTGAAGCATTTGGACAAAGTTGAGTGAGAGAGAGCTCAGTGAAATTGTCTGGGAAGCAACAAAATTATCATTAAGTATAATGTCAGTAACATTGAGTTAAATGATATAATCACTCGTTACGTAATATAACTCATGCACGAAGATTAATAAAGATACAAAAGTACTGTAAAGCTTTCCTAATTCTTACTTACTAACTTGAGCATTAAGCACAGCCACATCTGTGGTAGAAAATAATAATAATAAAAAAATGGCATTCAGTATAGTACTGTACTGGTTTAGCATAAACTATTTTCCATTTTAAGTACTGTACTGTATTCCTCCACTATATCACATTCACACACATATCCTCACATTTCTCAATTGTTAACCTAAATACTTCTGGCCTGGTCAAGTAGTCTTCCGTCTCACTGCTGTTGTTGCCTGTCATCAAAACTGTCATTCCTTCTATAACCAATTACAGCACTTCATAAATTTTCCATACTGTACCTCCCTTCATATATATACAGAATATCGTTTTAAGACTTTCTTCATTTTTACTCCACACAGAGAGAAATAAAGAGCAAACTTCAGTACTGTATATGTGGTTCGATGACAAATGATTGAGAGAGGAGTCTCTCTGAGTTGATATATGACTGAAAATGAACAGTACTGTACAGTACAATGAGTACAAGGACTATTAGAAGGTGGAGAAATTAGTACAAGAAGTTCAATTGATTGATAGTTCTGGCATCATAACAAATAATAAAATATTTAAAATAGAACCAAAGTAGGAAATAAATGTCAAATAAAACAGTGGATAATATCAAATGGTCCAAGCTGTTTGTGTTCAGTGCACATTAGTGGAGATTGGTAGTGAAAACTGCACAGAATAATGTAACAACAGGAAACAGCAAAACATCAACCCCAGAAACCAGCATGAGAGGCTCCACTAACTGTGGCTGAACAATATGGATGCAAAAACTATTCATTAAGCGGTGGTCAATGAAAAGTATTAACAAAAGGGATAGAACCACAGAAAAATGCATTGAAGAAAAATGGTAAAGGGAAAGAAATAGGAGAAAAGATCTCAAGCCTCATACTGTTGCTGAGAGACACCATGAAAGGCAGAAGAAAATAGAGATAAAGCAATCTCTGACACTGAAAAAGCTTTCTAATGTTGCTGTAGCTTATTTGGGTACTCATTTTCCACCTGTGTCCCCTTGTGTGAGTACCACTCGTGTTAAATAATCCGTCCTTATCTACCCTATCAATTCTCCTGAGAATTTTGTATGTGATCATGTCTTCCCGAGTTCTTCCGTCTACCAGTGATATGAGGTGCAATTCCTGCAGCATTTCTTTGTAACTCGTGCCTCTTAGTACTGGGACTAGTCTAGTGGCATACCCCTCAACTTTCTCCAGCTTTGTCTTGTACTTGACTAAGTATGGACTCTATGCTGAGGTTATATACTCCAGGATTGGTCTTACGTATGTGGTGTACAAGATTCTGAATGATTCCTTAAACAAGTTTCTAAAGGCAGGTCTGATGTTAGCCAGCCTTGCATATGACGCTGTCTATAATTTAGTTCCTCCTGTCTATCCCCCCTTTTTTTAAATATTGGGACTGTTTGCTTTTTACCAGATTTCTGTGAGATTGTCTTTATTGAGTGTTTTATTACAAATTTTAGTTAATATATGACAATGTACAGTACCTAAGCATCCAGATTGACAGTGTCTGATCCAATTGCTTTTTATTGCATTTTCCCCCCCCTCTTTAGTGATTTTCTGTACCATCTAATGTTGTTCTGGTATCCTATTATCTCCACCCTCAGTCACCACACTGATTCATTTTCTTGTCGACTTTTAGCCCCTGGACAGGAGCTATGGAAAAATAGTTATACTGCACATGCACAAAAAATAAACAAATTCCCCCAAATAATTTTTCATCATAGAATTATTAACTTACATTAAAAAATGTAAGAAAACCATAAGAAAGTGAATATATACTTTTTTACTGGGTGAAGGTGCTCTGAAAGGTTGTGCAGTGGCTATGTGGTCTGGCGTGTGTCAACACAATGCCTACTTTACTGATACTGGTGTGCGAGACATGACTTCTGTGTTCTACCTGGATGTTTCATTGATTGTTTATCACTTTATTTAACACATACAAAGGTTTGCAACACATTCAGTGCCAGAGCTAATAGGGCTAAGCTATGAACATAGGATAATGGAACTAGATCACACAACCCTAAAGGATAGAAATAGCATAGGGGATATGATCACAACTTACAAGATACTGAGGGGAATAGATCAGGTTGACAGCTGGAAATGCAAATAAGCCAAAGGGCTGTAAGAAAATACTTCAACCCTGAACAGGTAGTTAACACTTTCTGCGGATGAGGACTCCTCCCGGAGTCCTGTTTCGCCTACCCGCTCCCGCATGGTGGACATAAATTTATGTCCTCTTTTAAAATATTTGTATAAAATTCAATTTTAATCCAATTTACTTTGGGTTTGTTTCAAACTGCGCACCATGAGGCTCTCTTTCTCACCACTAGGCTGCATGGTACAATAAGTTCATGAAAGGTGTGGACCACTTCGATCAAAGCATGAGTGTCCCAAACGGGTTGCAGGTGGGTGACTTTAGCCGTTTATACTCGTAATGCTTCCCCCATATCATGTATTATATGCATATGTCTGTTTAGGGAATTTTATTCCGATCAATGTACAACCAAAAATAACTGTGTGCAACAAGAATAAACTTGACAAACATAACAAAAGTAAAAACATTTCGTGTGTGTTTGACGCTCACTGATATGTTCCAGCGTTATTTTATATTTGGCGCTATTCTATCTTACGCTTTGTTGATCTTTTTTACCTACGGGCTCATAGAACATTCTATTGCGAACACATTGACACAAAAATGAATGACGTACATAGAATAATAATGTCATGAGAGTGAAATAAGTATAAACTTTCAAAGCGCCGTATCGCACATGTGTCGTCCCGTCACCGATACCGGGTAACAATTTCACCACTTCCCACACTCTTGCGGGTGGGCCGCAATCATTATTCTACGCTTATATTCATATCACCGTGTTGGGAATTTCATTGCGAGTCCATTGATACCAAAATTAACGCTGTAGGACAAGTGTGGAGGTGATAACAATCCCAAGAGTAAAAACATTTTGTTGCTGTTGGGCGCTCACGGCGAGTCATCTTCGTAGTTATTTATTTGGTGCTGGTATCCCTATACGTTTCGTGACTTTTTTTACTGATGTTCTTCTAGAGAATTTTATTGCAAACACGTTGGTACCAAAATGAAATACGTAGCTCGAGAACTAAGGTCAGGAGAGTAAAAAGAGTACTGTACACACATTTTTGTTTTTACGCTTACGCGGCAAAAACGCTGCGCGCACATACCGCTTTTTTTTTACCATCCAAGGGGGAGCGAAAGTGTTAACAAGTGGAATGCTCCACCAGAGGAAGTTATGGATGACACCTCCATCTACAACTTTAAGGTCCAATTCAACACAGAATTTGAGTAGTTAGGTTGAAACACAACAGGTACAAGGCTAGTAGGAGGAGCATAAAGAACTAGACTTCACTCCCCTGTAGACACTAATAGGGAAGTACTAATAGATGAGTACTAATAGGTAAGTACTGTTATGCACCCCATGTAGCCTCGTGATGTAGGTCTGCACCCCCCCCCCACACTGAGTTATCCCCACCTGGCCATAGTGAGGATTCAGTGAAATTAAATAGTGCAAGAAACCGTCATTAAATGTGACCAAGAGCATAAGTCACGGATGAGCACTTAGATAAGTCACTTGGAGGCGAGATGTCTCCTCTGCGAAGTGCCTTGTGCATAAATGACGTCATCGCGGAAGCATGTCGTGTGCAAAGGTCTGAAGACGTCACTTGTCATGAGAAAGCCTGAAGAGAATGATGCATGTCGTCGCTCCAGAAGAAGGAAGATATTTGTGACTTGTGGAGAAGAATTTGTAAGGAGCTTCAAGAGTGAAGAGTGAGGAAGTTGTGGGAAGGCAATTAGTGACGTATTTCTTAAATAGTCGCAACAAGTAGGGGCGCCCCGACTTGAAGCCAGCTGGGTGGTCGTGCCCTGAGGAACCACATTGGCGAAATCTACAAGAGGATTGTTGGGCAGGTGTACCTATTGGTACCTGTGCCGTGACCCTTCTCATGCACGTCAAGACTGAGAGGAGCCGATTAGTGGCAGCCAAAAAGTGTGTTGTGTAGGAAACTTAGCAGAGCGTCATATTTGGACGCCATGCGATGAGCGTCGCTGTTTCCATATTTTGTGATAAGAGCTTATGTTGATTGTTGTAGTGAGACTGTGCCAAGTAATCTTGTATAAAGTTTATGGATGTAGACTAGAAAGTTTGTGGAAATAATGAAATTATATAACGAGTTTAAAGTGAATTGGCAGTATGAAGGCCGGGGTCAGTGGCTGACTGAGGGGAAGAGTCCCCCGGCGGATGGAGATTTTCGGTGCGGACTCGTCCAGGTAGGGGATTATCACCACAGTAGAGGAATAGAATATGCGAGGAATAGGTATGGAATATGGGATTGCGACGATAATTTTATTTAATGTTATTTGTGTTTCGATGGGAGCATATACTGTAGTTTATTATTTTGTGGTAATGGAATTATAGGTTCATGTATGATGGACATGGTTCATCCAAAGTTGATGTAGCAGTGGTACAAGGTGGACATGGTTTGTTATTGGTTGAGGTAGCAGCAATACAGGAGAAGTTGTAAGAGGATATACTTAATTTGAGAACCAACTGATGGATGGTCCCAGTAATAATTTCCAGGAAGATCAATCATCATAGCGGAGACTTGTTGTGTAGCAAGAGTAGTTGATCTTGAGATATAGAGGGTTGTGAGGGCATGAATATGTTTGAAAGGGGGATGGATTCATGTAGTATGCCTGACCATTGCAGGGTGAGAGCGTTGATGTATTTTTGATGGTGTTAAATTTCATGTAAAAAGCCAAGCCCAGATGGAGAGGTGACCGAGGCAAAGTGGGTTGCTGCAGAGGAGCAGAA